CTACTCTGATAGGAGTAACGCTTTAACTCATTTAGGTTTAGCTTCTAGCAGTGGACCCGAGGATGCTGGAGTGTTTGCCATCAATCGTTGTGCAGAAATTCAACCTTCAAAAAACACGAATGCCACCCCCCAACTATTTGATACCGTCAGACACATCATAGTTGATCGCTTATCACTATTTCTTCCCCCCTCCGCTTTCAACATAGTGAGCTTACTACTCAGTAGTGCCATTTCCAGAGCAAATTACAAATCACTAAATTAGAGCAGCTTTCCCTGATATGTAGGGTAGGCGACTTAACAGGACGTTTATTTAGATGCATTCGGATCGGCCATCAAGGCAGTAATATCCAGCTCTACTGGACCCTCACAAAGCTGACCTTTCAGACTTTAGAAGTTATTCTCCATAGAATAACACAGACTAGTGGTTACTTATCGCTTGTTGATAGCTTAACAACGGGTACGAGTTCCTACTGCTGCAATACGGCTCGCGAGGTAGCCTGGTTTCCATGTCTGCCGTGCGTCGCGTGATACCGCCCGTAAAACATTCTAAGATGGATCGCTTTGTTTTGAAGTTATTGCTAGAGTTGGTATGTGCAAGTCTTGCCCGCCCAGACTTTGCCTTCTCTTCAACACTCGCCCAGTCGAACCCAACGTGACCAGCCACTTATAGCACCGACTATTGGGCCAAAGCAGACAGTATCGTATAGTTCACTTCAGTGGCATTGCCCATTGGTTCGCTTTTTTCGGGTAGAGGCCTAGTTGTATCATTACTATAAGTAGTGCCCCTATATGGAATAAACACAGTTTTATATTCGTTTACGAAATGATGGTTCCGGTGCATTAGTTCCGGCTGGGGGTTCGCAGCTTTTGATACGAAAGTTGTTGAATCTCTGCGTTTCTCCTTGCATTGTTAACACCAACACCGTCGTTGCACATGGTGATTCAGCTGCCTATCATACAGTAGTATTATATATACGATTTATAGTAACTGATAGTCTACTTCACAATAGGCGACTTTCAAGCGTTGTATCTATGCGCTCGCTCGCTAGCTGTCTGTCGTGTTGTCGTCGTCGTGTCGTGCATTTTTGTGCCAGCATCGGCTGCTTCGAGCACAACAAACGATGTGTCGGATAGTTAGGTGACATCATGGTTGACCTTTGCTTTCCTCCGCCTGTGAACTTCGTTATGTGTGTACGCGTTCAACCGCTACTTGACCTATGTATAATAAGTGAAACAGAATGAGCACTCACCGTTGTTGTTAGCGGTGCCGGACGACTTTGACTTCTTACGAGAAGATGCGAACACGGCGAGCGTGTCCATGGTCATTGCGATCATGTTGAGGCCGTTTAGGGGACCCTGAGGGCCCGAGCAGGTCCACTAATTACAGCTGTATTACAGATATACACACACACGCTCACACCCAGTGCCTCGAATGGGGTAGTTTTTCACGCTTCAACTTTTCATTCACTTCTAATAATAACGATACCAGCAGCTGGAAGACGGCTGGCTGTTTGTGCCGTTAGTTGGTGGCCTGCCACCGGCTGATTACCTATATATTGATTAGTTATCGTTGATGTTTTTAGGGCTTGTTTTTGCGTTACTCATTGGTTGGCATGACCACGTGCCGCATCTCCCGCACTAAACCGATGACGAGTTGCGGAACGGTGAACTCACAAACGGATCCAATCTAGCCGGCTTTACTGAATGGTTTAGCCTTTTTGCTCACAATTTTGCACGCACTGCTTAAAAAGCCTGTTTAGAGATAAGGCATGACTTCGTAGTAGTCGCACTTGCAGCTGAATCGCGGCGGCTGACCTGTAACGCTGAAGGGGAACGCACAAGGTATAGCTGATTTGCTTGTTTTCTGTGGTTGCCGTTGACTTTGCAGACTGCGTAAGGCACACGACAAAGTGATTCTCGCTTTCGCTGCCGCCCTGACAAGACAATCAAGCACTAATGAGCGGATTTCCTATGCATTTATTCACAAATGCCTAGGAATGTGCTGTGGTATGAAATGAGTGTGTATATATGTATTTTTTTTTAAACGAATCCACGGTGTACACGACGCCGACAAACGACTGGAATGCGTGAAATGAAGGCGACGGTCTCAGTTTGTTTGGGCAAAACGGCCCGCAAATGTGGGCAAGTGTTCGGCGGATACAATTATGGTCAATAGGGTACTGATAAGAGGCCAAGGTCGAAAATGAACTGCTGTCGTTGTAGGGAAAGGCAGGTAGATAGCTACTAGCTTCGTCTGAGAGGGAACTCTTTTCGCTCGATACTGAAGGCCGATCGCTAGCAATACAGGGATCACCGCACGTACAACTACAACCTCGTTAGTTGCGTTTTTTTGGTAGTCGACGCCACTAAGAGGCGTAGACACGGCGGTATGGTTGCTGTAGTGGCCGCGTAAATTCGGTTTCGCTGGCTCGTCGCCGTTAGCTCACTATTGGCTGCGCGGTCCGCTCACAAAGGTGGATGTCCTAAACCCAGAAGGGGAGATGAGATTAGACAGGAGGCAGGCAACAGCAGTAGCAGCAGCAGCAACAACATCAGCAGCAGCAGCAGCGGCAGCAACAACAACAACAACAACAACAACGACAACAGCAACAACAACAACAGCAGCAGCAGCAGCAGCAGGCCAGGGGCTCCTGCTATTAAAGTACGTCGCTTGTCAGTACAATACAGCAGCGGCAGCAACGGCGGGGGAAAGCAACGGAAGCATTTGGTGGTATTAGTACCGATAGTAGCAGATCGAAATTCGATTGATTTGATTTAGAACACTCGCAGAACAACATATCGTCCTAGTGGATACTAACCGACCGGAATATGAACATTGCCGGGCCCCAGAAAGAGAAACAAGTACGGCCAATATCACATTACGGGCGAATTGGCTCGTAGGGGCCTGAGGTGTATTATTGAAGCTTAGGTTCGTGGTATTAATAATGTCCGGCTCAGGGAGCTCTGAATCGAGATCGCGGCACTCGTAATAACTTCGGGGGAAAGGGTAGATTTGGAAGAATAGCTCAGTTGTATCGCGAGCGACCGCGCCCAAATCAAAACCAATATACGGGAGACTATCGACTGGCTATCAGAGATGAGTTCGATGTAGGAATGCCGTGGTGAAAATCAACTCCGGGAAACTAACGTCAAGGCAAGGAATAATAGCCACAAGAAAGCCTTTACTCAACTAATGATGGCTAGCCAGAATGGCAGTTAAAACCCGGTCTCATAAACAGTTTAGTTGTAAAATACGCTCGCTTGCGTTTAGGGGCTGACGAGCATGTTGTTCAAACGAAATAAAGAGTCTTGGTAGCTGTGACGACATGATTTTTTCATCTCTGCTGATCCACTGACATGCTCTCAGTATGCTCCGGTGCGAGATGATGACGAAACTGGCCCTGATGTCGAGAAACGCGTCGGTAGCGCGTTACCCGTTTAAATTATCAGTGATTATCACAATGATAACAATGGCGGCAACGACGAATTTACCACGAAGCGCTTCTAAAATGTCTCACTTAAGCGATCTTGTTACGTGCAAGAATGAAAGAATTCGAAAGAGACACTAGATTTTAGATGTTTGTCAGCAGAAGGACGGAACGGAAACTATCATTCCAGTCAACGAAGGCACTCCTGCAACAAATTCCATATGGTCTCTGATTGTGTCGTACGACTAACGTAAACTAAGCGTTTAATACAAACTTCAGGATGTGACAGAGAAAGCCTCTGATCGCACACGGAACAGGCGAATGCCATGGGAATGGTTCTGTGCGATACGCTGTTTAAGGTTTGCCCCCTTTTCCTCGTTGATCGGCCCCGGTCGCTTCGTTGCAGCGATAGCGGTAAAACTAGGACAATTGTATGTATAACGTAATAACAAGGTGTAATAATGATTTAGGCTTATAATGAGCTGTCGTTTTGTTTGCTGTTGCTGTCGGTACCTCTTTCTCGAACAGAATTAAGTGGAGATGGTTGCTCACCTAATGACGTCCAGGCCATTAGGGGGATGGATAACACCGGGGTTTGCTAGAAAGGGTCTGCCGGTGACTCTAGCTGAAGCTGCTGTGGCCATCTTGCTCACTTACCGTTTAGTAGAAGTTTGTTATGGTAATGCCGCTATAGCAACCGTGCCAGGCGGTCAAACGGTCTGCAGCGTACCTACAGAATGCCTTAGTGCGGCAACCGAGTGTTGCGCTGTGTATAGAGGATATTACCGGATGGAGCTTGGTTGTTTTCAGTTCCAGCCATGCGTTACGCGAGTTCGGAGAGGGACAAGCTGCGTGTGAGGCATATTGGGGTGTGTTCCAGAAGGACCAAGGAGAGAAAGGTCTGACCTGCAACTGTGCGGGAACAACAGCAGTAGTGGGCTCAGGGATCGCAGCACAGAGACGCTAGTAAGCTTGAACTCGGGAATCCACTAGGAAACTGACTTCATAAAGGTACCGTGGCGTCAAGATTCAGGTAAGAGGCAAACTAAACGTTATATAGCTAAGACCTGGGGTGGTCGTCGTATGGGGTCGAAACCAAAGAGCGTATCATGGGACCGAGCTCCGATCATCGGATACGACCAGCTTTTTTCTCCTCTCCGTTAAGGTATACGCCCATTAAGCTATGTGCCAATGTTGGAAACCGGGGTAATGAAAGTACTCATCCTGTAGTTTTGTTGCTTGTTTCCTAATACAGTTGCGCTAATTGAAGTAGAATAATAAACGTGTGGGAAACATTAAAATCTGCGATGTTATTGCGAAGAATACTTGATTCACAAGTGCGTCGTACCGTAGATGGGAGCTCGAAATTTGTCGAATCGAAGATTTTCGCTAGGCAACGTACACGAGATAAATACAAACTGACAAACCGTTTTCAAAGAAATCGTATCGCGGGGGTAACGCTTATCCCCCTGTTAGTTACAGCTACTGGTAATACAGTGCGCGACAGCAATAAATATCTGATATTTTTTCTGGTTATTACTTTTGTGCCGTGGAAGGAGCCGATGTATTTGTCACATTTTTCAAACTGCTAATACTATTCGGTACATTATGTTCTTGAGGAATTTGCGTTTTTACATTTACTGAAAAGAGTTAGGTTTACGCGGAAACTCACGATGACACCCGATTTTTAGCGTTACGCAAAGCCACCTGTACCATCACCGTCAACCGGTCACCATTGAATTACCTTACTCACAACAGAAAGATCACCTTTTGCGCCTTCTCTCTTAAACGTCTTCATTAAACAGCCTGAACTTACCCATAACTTGGCATTGGCGCTGATCATGTTAGCTTTCTGACGGCATACGCCTTATGCACTGCACAGCATCTTCCTGCTTTCTCATTGCTTGATGTTCGCAACACTTAACCCACTAGAGAAGGACTCAATGGCTACTTGTTACCGTACCACGTGGAAAATAACGAGTGCTGTTGCCTTGGAGCGTCCTATCGTCTATGCTCTCGTGCCCGATCCGGCCGCCGGCACTGCCCAGTGTCTACAGGAGACTTCTAGATTTAGCAGCGAGCCCCTTACCGCACCGTATTGTCGATGCTGGGTATCCCGACGATGGTGAGTCTGTCTCTAAGCTACGGTAGAAGGCTCGTTAGCAGGACAATGTGTATGAGTTAGGCTACGAATAGATCGGAACAGAACGCCACTAACACGAAATAGATTGTACATTTATAGCCAAAGAACTGTTGAAAATAGACTGAACATGAATAAACCCGCTTTGTGGTCGGCGTTGCTTTTAATTTTGCTTTCGATTAGTTTTCAACGTGTAAACCTAACTAGAAAAGATAACTTGAACTCTGTAGAAACACGTCGCCACATTTTTCTCTATGAGAATTATAGGCTTTTTTTTTTCCTTATAGAACCTTAACCCATTATTAGTCGGTAGAAGGTAGCAGTCGCCAGCGAAGATAGACTAACGTGCCGAACTCTCTAACCCTGACTGGTAGGGTTGACGACACATTGTATTAAGGCAGTACATTCTTGGAGTTTAATTTAATAAGCTATCACAATGAAAGGTAATGTTAATGTTTATTTCCCACCGAGCAAGCTTGGGGCAGATTCCAAACAAATCTTGATACATCAATAATAGAATTGTACAATATTTAATTCATCGGACATACTTAATATAATCTAGCAACAATACGAACTACCTGAACCAGTTCTGTGGTGGCTCATCATCAAACACCTTCTACGCCCAGCTCGCATCGTAAAAGACTGTTTTCCACGCCTTCAACTAAGAGATGGAACTCGACGTAGCATTTTTTGATTGAGAACAAACTACCTAGCGATACTTGCTCGCCTTATCAAATATTGATATGATAAGCACGGGATCCTTGTGGTTACGAAGCTAGCGCCCTCGCGCAGTAGGATTTTTCGACCCGGGCAGAAAGGTCTCTCGCGGAGAGATGAGTCGACACGCGTGTCACCTTGGCGGTTCACACATATATGTGTTCGATTTTCTCGAATGTACATTTTTTAGTTTAAAGTTTCAATTATCATTTGGATGGATTTTTTACTTATTCTTGGCATGTTTTCAATTACTCGATGTACGTCACCAGTACGGCGATAATATATTACCTATTGAAGATCGTGCGCGCAATAGATGATTCATCTGCTGATTGAATCGTAGGTCTATCATTTCACCGTAAAGCTGTACCAACAAATCTCACTTCTGCTATTTATGTGCTACGTATGGTCCAATACAATTTGGCTGATGAAATTACGATAATAATTATGATTAGGTTGGATATAAAGACAGTTTTGAGCGTTCATAAACAGCTGTAGGGGTCCTATCAATTTGATATTTTATTGCTAGGTATGTGTGCGCCTACTAGCTAGACTGCCAAAACGAAAACCCAAATGCAAGATTCATCGGGTAATGTAAGGCATGTTATTTAAAGCTAGATTTCAGTTAGACTTTGTCTGGTGAGTTGACTGATTTTTTAAACTGCTAACGAGTCTGTTGCGCAGACCCCGAATGATACTAGCAAAAAAGAAAAACACGCCCCCAATAAGCAGCATCGATGCTTGGCAAACATGCTTCGGACGGCGTCAAATGCGTTTGTTGTATATGAGTAGGGTGGCATTAGATCAACCTATAAATGGCATATTAACTAACGATAACGTTCTGACCCAAAAACGCAGCTGTCGAGGATGGTTCCAAAAGGTAGCTGTTTGTTAATTATCTTGACGAAAGGTGCTTAAGCAGCCTTTTTCCAGGATAGTGTTTTTCGCATTACGGCATCAGTCGGTGGCAGTTTCTAGGCTCAATAAAAGATATATATATCTATATGCATAAACATACCAATTATAGGTTAGCGTTCAGTTCTATAATGTCCATGGTAATCTTTATATGAAGACTTTGTTTTCTAAGAAAATACGATTGTCCTTGTAGGTAGGTATTCATCAATCTACGAACGGCAACGGTACTTGTGACGCTGGGAATTTCTGCAAAGGCTTATTACTGAATTAAAGCAAACTTCGTTAAAGCAAAAGGTTCGGTACGTCGAGATCTTCTTCCAGGCTCAGATCAATAAAGTATTATTAACTTCTCGTGCGCAAAAGTACTAAGTGTTTATGATGCAATTTGTAATAAGATGTACGGAAGTCCAGTCGTAATCAGCCTACCTTTTCGGACCAACGTAAGGTAAGATTTTTTCTAATGTTAATGTTCGAGAAGTATTTTAAGCTTTTAATTTTGTTGGTAACGTAGTAGTGCGCCCTTGAAATGATGGACATGCGTTCGCTGTTACTGGTTGGGGTCAAGGTATGGAAATATATGGGTAAAATTTACCCTTAAATTCAACTTATTGGGTGACAAGACGAATGGCTTGATAACCAATACATGCTAACGACTTCTGTTTAATCAGCTCAATGAAAGTTGCCTTTAGAGCTTGCGCCAGCTAGTTCAAATTGAGTAAGCAATAGGCGCAAAATGTAACGATTGAAATTGGGCAATCAAAAAAGTACTAGAAATTTACTGGGTCATGGCAATTGAATCCCACATCGCGGATCTCCAACGTTGATATCTGAGCTGCGCTTATTTGCCACTTACCTGATAGGACATACAGAATGCTACCGTACCCTTGTAGATGGGTAGAAGTGAGGTCCGTGTTGGAAATCATGAATGCCATTACACCCCTAGAAACGAGCCATTAAGGCGATATTTCGCATCCGGAAAAAAAGCATCTGCCCCTGATCAAAATATTCTGCCTAAATATTATTTTCTCATTTAAATGTTTTAATAAACATACGAATAACTTAGTTTATATTAAGTCTAAAGAAATGTCAATCCGCTCACTTAAACTCAGAAATCAGGCCAATTAATGAAAGTTTCATTAGGCCAATTCATAGAGTTACACAATCGACGTGTACGCAATGCACAATGTATTTGTAATGATGTAGAAAAGTTAGACAAACAAATATTATGCTCACTGTGACTGAGTCAAAAGGCTTTTATTAATATAAGCGTTGGAAACGAATCATCAGTTATCGGTTATGAATATATATTGGTTCTGTTTTCTAAGTACCGTCTGATACTTTAACAGCTAATATGCCAAATCTTCTATTCTATACTGTTATACTGACGGACGTTCCAGGCTCAGGACGTTTCATCGTGTGCATAATGATGGAAAAATGCAATTTCTCCATCAGAAGCTTTTTTTTTTCATCAATCAATTTTTTCGCAATCATCCTTCTGCATTTTTGCCTAAATATCTTCTGGCGCTATAAACCTATTTTTTAGGCAACTTGGCGTGTTGTACGAAGTGTGGGTTCTAAACGCCAATAACTTCAGCATTGTGTAGAATTAAAGAGATACTGAGGATAATATGTAATGTAAGATAGGACATAAAATTCAACAACATAACACGAAATCTGATAGGGGAGCAAGCTAACGGCTGATGTCGGGGGACAGGAATAAACCCAATTAGACGATGCCGCCGACGACGACAAGCAGAAATGGAATTTAGAAGAAAGCTAAAAATAACTTTATTGTGTTTTTGCTATTCTTGCTAATCGCTCGTTCTACGCTGTTAGATGATTTTATAAAATCCCGCCGCATCCACTCCAAGATTTGGACAGAGAAACAATTTCTAGTTGATTCCTACGACGGCGAAAGACTTTCTCCGTCCGGGCGACTGCACCAGACGATTTACAGGAGAGCGAAACGAAAAAATCGATACGATAGAACTAACTCAGATCTAAAGTGCTGCTTACATAAAGTTAATTTTAGTATTTCCGAAATTAATAATTAAATTAATGCAAAATAGATATTTCGGCTTTGAGTATATTTTGTAGCGTTCTATAAATACTCACTTATAAATGTGTCGCTACGTCCTGCAGGATTTAATTTCGAAATTTTACATTTTGTACTGCTTATCCCGTACTAAATGCGCTAAGTATGAAAATATATATAATTATAATAACAATAATAAGAGAACGAAAATTGATTAATTAGACTAGCGCCAGCTATTTAGGAGGCGTGTATATGCATAGAAAGAAAGAGAAAACCTTGCAGCAATTTTTATAATTTATTATGTAACAGAAAAACGAGAACACGAATAATAGAGAGAACAACTATACATTTTTCTCTCTTTGCCGTTAAGAATCAGTTCGATATTTTTAATTGCCACGACCTTTTAAACCAATACGGGAAAACTCAATAATGATCTTCAAGCCAGAGGCGTATGTCCATTTAAGTCTGCAGGGTGAAACAACACAGTTATGCTTAGTGAAGCTAGCATTCATTAGACACCCACTTCGAGAAGCCATTGAACTTTCGACATACATAGGTTATGTAGGCCCACACGATTGGTCGCCAAATTTCGGAAGAGAATTGAATACTTTACACTGCAGATGAACGCTTAACACGATTTCAAAAGTAGGCGACAGGTAAACTGAAACAACCCGCCTTCCTACCTACACGGTGATACGAACTATGACGAAGCTAGCTTTGACATGAACAGCAGAAGAACTTCTTCTCTCAGCTATTTTGTTCTAAATTACTCGCTCACGGGCTACGCTGTTGCAACCCTCCTCTGTACATAGACGCCGTCAGCGTCAGGGCCAAAAGTGATGCTGCGTAAAAACGTTGCTGCTCCTTTTAGGACGGCCTCAGCAGCCGATACAGCGGAGGCTTGCAAGGCTACGTCTTGCGGATTCGTGCTTTCGGCACCCAGCTCGTTGGTAATCACTGCTGCATGTAAATTGCTTTCGCCCGTACTGTACCTACGGATGATCATTGTAAATCAGGAAAAAAACGCTTTGAGTACAACAGAACGTCTCTAAATGAATCACGTTATATGGTACTAAGATTTATTTGAGTGAGGACACCTTTCTCCTTCTTCGTTTATGCTGATAACACCATGGCGAGTCGGAGCACAGAGCCGCGGTGTTTATCGTATAGATTTAATCGCCCGTGAAAATATCTATTTATAACTAACTCTAATTTTAATATGTGTTCAAAAAAAGATTTGTGTTCAAGTTAAACGCGAATGCATTGCCATTGTGCTGCCGATGGATCAGACATAAAATTATATGACACTGTCGTTTGATCTATATACAAGTATATATAGATTTTGCTACCTACTTGACAGTGCGAGTGCGACCGCCAGGCAAGGCTATCGTATATGATCCACGCACATCCCTTAGGCCATCTCCGGAGAGCGTCTGCCCTTGACGACCCTGCACAGAATTATCAACCTAAACAATTCGTATTTCGTTAGCAAGGCTTTTCGATGAACAACAAGCTATCATGGACAAAGCACCAGCGTAAGCTTGGGATTATGGCGGCGTTGGTTCAGATTAGATTTGACAGGACTGTTTCTATACGATCTTATATATAATTTATTCGACACGAACTAATAGCAATACTTTGGCTACGCTCGAACCCACAGAAATAAAACAAATTGTGTTATAACCATCTGATATGATTCCTTTGAAGATATCCCGTAATTTTTTTTATCACCCGTTTTACATCACTTTCGTCTTGAAGCATTACGTTCGTAAGGAAAACCTTATGCCTGATTTTGTTGAATGAGTATTGAATGATATTTTAGGAAGATACATACTGTTCAACATCATATATATCTAGCTGTTTGTTTTGGTTACCTTCGAATGGCCTTCAGATATTGGAGCTCCACCTACGAAATGGACGATCACCCCGGCAACGACCAACGCCAATGTGCGCTGTAAAAATTTTTAATTCGTTAATGGATGGATTCAATGTTATTTAGTGAACTACATAGATCGACTCACTGTCATTGCACGCAAAACATACCCGTCGAGACGTTTGACGCACGTCGATAGGTCGGTGAAAATTGTCCAGCCTTACCACGATCAAATATGGAACCGAATTCGACCCTGTACGATTACAAGAGTATTTATTCGTTATCTACTTCCGTAAATTTAATATCGATATCCAAAACGTTAATTTTAGGGTCCAGGATTTGCCCCTAACGAACCACGGCCGGTCGTTCTGTCGCTCAGTTAACGAGAACTTCTCCAAAATTGACCATATCGTCAGCTAATTCAATATCGCACACAAACAGGACGCCATTTGTCTGCAGGAATAACTTGGCATGAGCTATTGCGTACTCTCGATTTTTTTTCGAGTACAGGAAAATGGCCCTGCAGTGACCCGAGCCCAGTGAAGATGAATGACCTCGGAACATGAGGGCCATTGTGGTGAAACTAATGTTCGTAATTAGTTGCTGTTGCACTTGGGAGACCAAGCAAAGAAGGTAAACGATAAGATGAAAAATTAGGACGAAGCGGACCACACAGAAAGGTGCGGCTTGTGACAGGCGACTGAGAAGAGCGTAGTTCTAGGCAATAACAACTAAGACGACAAATGTTTCATTGAGATCCTCAGCTGAGTTCTGTTAAGGGTACATATTTGTGTGTTTCATAACAGGGCTAGTTTTTACTGAAAAAGTTGGATGAATTTGATTTCTATTTCTTAACATGCTACTGTTGTTCACTAAGGCAGATCGCGGTCTTGGCAAAGTTTTTTTAAAATGGAGACATGCGTTCCAAATCCCCATCATTTGGCCTATTTACACAAGACGTCTACAAATGTTTAGTCGGGAACAAGCCAGGTTATCTGCGCAGGTCTAGATACATGTTCAGTCATTTGTCACGCTAACCAACTAAAGTATACGTAAATTATTAAGGAAGTTTCAACGACTACTTAGGTCTCTGTCAGGTATTCCAGTTCAATCGTATATTCAAGGCTATGGCGATTTCTGATCAGCTACCGTAAAGTGACTCGCACACTATGAAGGTAAACCAAAATGCCGAACAGATTTATATACTTAAAACACAAAATCTATACTTTTCTAGCTTGACGCGGAATCGTTCTCTTGATCGGATGGGCATCATGGTTACTTTTTTGATTCTCTTATGTCTTTTGAAATTTATAAATATAGGCCGCGGCTGTTATCTCACTTTCTACTCCCTCCGCAAATCCAGCTTAGAACCTAGGTACTTCAATAGAGGAAAAATAATTTCGTATAGATGTATATATAAGAACGCGAAGCCGAAGTAAAGTACTCCTAGGATCTGCAAAACATGTTGCACTTTGGCACAGTTCAACGCAACGGACTGACGTTATCCGTAAGTGCTAATGTGAATCGCTTACGCCTAAGCAATTACGCCTAATTACTAAAAGCTTTTTTGATAATTGGCACTAATTAGCAGGAGAAGCTTGATGTGAAGATTTAACATTTCTTCCAAAGTCAAATCTGAACAACAAGAAACCTATCCGGGAAAAGAAATTGCATTCATCTTAAATTTACTCGAAACCCTAAAATAGTCAAGTGTTGTATACTGTGCTTATGCTGATAAGGGTTTCTAATAACGTTTATTAATTGCTTAGCAAATCTTACCTTGTTTCACAATGTCACTTTATTGCAATCGTCGTTGCTTGAAAGGCAGACTTGGTCTAAAACAAAGGGTCTATTATGACTACATTCATGTCGCTTGATTTATTCATTTTATTTATGCTTTGTTACTACAGCAGGAAAGCATTTTTTTCAAACTGAAACAACAGAAAATGAATGTCTGTGCAAAAAAATTAATTCTCTGTATAATGCTTTGTCTTCAGTGTTATGATGATAGGCGCCAGATTGATAGAAGATTTCTACGATAATGAACTTCAATCCTGATAAATACACTGTTTGGTGTATGGCAAAGGATGCTCGTATTTATACTTTTGGACGCTCTATCTTCCTATACAACGCCTCCGAGAATAACGCCGTCCTAATTTACATTGGACACGTGTTCACATAACCTTAAATTCCAATGGAAGAATTTATAAGTAAACAGAAAGAAAGGTTTCCACAGGATGCAGGTACAGCGCGTGCAACGACTGCATCGAGTAGATTCCACAAACACTGATAGAGTACAATTAACTGTACCTGCCAGAAGACGGTGCGTTTTTGTTTCTTGGAGCCAACGCTGTTACAGGTACTCTTCAATGGAGTAAGACAAATCTTCAAACGAAGATTCTTTAAACCAAAAAAAATGCACTTCGCTTATTACCTAACGTGTGATATACTTCTGCTGTGGTCTTCTGCGTCGAAAAAAAATCGCCGTTTTTGCTCACCTTTAGCTGGGTCAACACGAATGGAATACCGTAGGTAGGTAACACGAATAGGGGTAGCTTTAAAGCAATTAAGTATGCAGGATTACATACGGAGGGAGGGTTGCACTGCTGCAGGGACAAAAACGCTGCTTAAAGTCCCATATTACTCTAACAAAGGGAATCTATTCATCGACTTCCCGAAAAAAGTAGACCGGACACCAAACAACTTCACTTAAGGAAAAAAAGGGGATTTTTTTGGATGTCACCCTGGCGTCAGCACCCAGATATCAAAGCTCGCCAGTGCTTCAAATTGTCACATCTAGTCCTTACCTACTACTAGTATTCTAAAAACAAATATTTTCTTTGATATGATTCGCTCTAGCTTTGCCCTCGTAGAAAAATTACCAAAAAATGTGAACATTCATGGAAAACCAGTGTTGAAAAACATAGAAGCCAGATAATGATTTTGTGTGTAACATATCGGTGAAAAACAGCCTTAGAGTAAAACAGTGTTTTTCAGTGTAGAAGAGGATACCCCTTGTACCACGTTGCACATAAATATCTAACTGAAGAATTGAACAAACGTTTGAATTAGCCGTAGAGTTGATTCTTGAAATGGGCACGTCCGCTTCATGGCACAAACACATACACATAGAAACACGCACAAAAACACAAGACGCAACAAAAACGAGCTAACACAAGGGGCTCAGATGCCCAAATTCGACAAAACGTCATTCTATCGCCGTTTTTCAATATGCTTTAATTAATAAGCCTAAAATAGCGTCTTACCATTATGACCATTACAATACGAAAACGTTTCTGCTCAGATAGTCGTGCTGTTATTTCAGTGTACATACGTACCATTTTTGATTTGGGACGAAAAAAGCCTGCTGAACTTTCCACCGGTAAAATGTCGTGATCAAGACTTGTCGCCATCTTATAATCAACGTCGATACTTGACGCTGTCTTACGTTCCAGCACATGCTACCCTTTCAGCCACAAGCCCTCACCTACCTGGTTGCCCTAAGTGAAAGACATCCCGCTGCGTTGCATTAAGTACGCTTTGTACATATTGCAGTTCTTTAACATTTCCCCTCTTTGTTTTCTGTCGCCGTTCGTGGTAACATTTGTGAAGTAAATTGCTAGCAAAAAATGTGCGTTAATTTTCTGAGAACTTCCGTCTACGAACACCTACAATTTCCTCCGAAGTCCATTGTAACGTGATTACCGACTTCCGAATATTTCTGCGTCGAGAGAGTGAGCATCGTAAATTGAGTCATAGAGTTGCCAAAATGGGGCTGGAAGTAGAGCACTACTTCTTCATGACCGGGCATGGCTACCTTCATAAAGCGTTTCTTCTTTGGCGAAATCAATATTATGTATTAAGGCCACACATAGGCCGTCATAATGTATTAAAAAGATTAACAGAGCCCACTGAGATATAAGGGTGCGAAACTGAAACAATTATGGAAGAGACTTTCATAGTTTTTCCCTAATGACACCGCTATTCTTGCGATGTTGGCTTTGTTTCTGTATTGAGACACTATCACTAAATTGTGTTTGTGACCCATTCGACCTTTGGTATCTATTTTTGTGTTTCTGCATAAATTTCTGATGCGCTCACGTCCGGTCGAAGATTATGATTTCAAAGGGGGTATTCGTCTTTGCCACCGTAGCAATATGAATATCTGAAGACGCCGTTGGTCGCGACCGTTTGAACGGTTGGTATGATTATCGCAGCTGCTAGCGTCGCTACGACTAACTACGACGATATTTTTTGATAGGGACCACTTAACTGCAAGTGTGAGACAAGACCAGGTCCGCTAAGAACATAATACCGTCAATTAACAAAGTAAAAGTTCAGCATTATCGATTCGTCGATCCCGAATCGAATATACCAAACTGATCAGATAAATCGGATAAATCCCGTGCGCTGTAATGACCTCTCATCTATACAAGAAGATCATTTTCATATAGCTTACTAATCTGTTTTCGATACCACTAAAGATTAAGGCCTCGTGTATTCTTAAAGTTCATATACGGTTAGAGCATCGAAAGCTCGCTGGAGGTGGTGATTTTCAGTTTTAGAAAAAAAAAAACAAAAAAAAGAATGCCACGTAGACTCATCATTGAACCCACGATAGTGCTGTTTCACAAGTCGATAAGCAACTATGGTCTTCCGCGTGAAAAAAATAAATATAGAAACAATGTTCGCTTAGCGTGGGATGTACAACGCAATAGCGACTAAGAATGATGCGCGTATCATTTTCTGTACGGCACATTGTTTACGGTAATTCTTATCATTTCGCAAAAAAAGGCTTTTTATAAATTGCAGACAGAAAACTGCGACAATTGACGGGCAAGTAACGTTTTCTCGCATGACAAAATGATTGCGTTGGAGGAGCTGGGGTAGATCGGTTGGTTAACAGAACCTGTGTTTAAAAAACTGCGATGAACATAACGTCCGTAATACTCCAGTGCATCTTATAAAAACGATACGAAAAAAAAAAAAAAAAAGTCTAAATATATGTTCTTGTAATAAAGGAGCCTTTAGCTGTTACGGCAACAGTCGTCAAATCAGTCGAACAATTTCATAAAAATGATAGCAAAAAATAACATTAAAAAAATGTAGTACACACCTTTGATGCGCTTTTATCGATTTCCAGTACGTAAAATTGCCCCACTTGTGATCAAGCAATGTGTGTGCAGGTAAATAATTGTATGAATAAACTATTCTAATTCTGTTAATGAAGAATAGAGCAATAAAGACGGAGCTTTTTTCAATTCAGAGTTCTTTTATTTCGATAATTTCAAATAGAGCAGGTAAATAATTATATCATCTTATCAACGAATTCCAATGCAGCTGTGAGAAATTTATTTAAAAACATCTCTTATTATCTTTATTATTAGTGATTATTATCTTCACTATTGACTTTGGCAGAGCTATTAGCACGCTCTGTTGAGTCTTATGTAGACAGCATCTGACGTAGCCTTCGTCTTAGCTACGTATAGGATGGGTAGAAGAAAAATTCAATGCATTATTAAATTGCGCTATAGCGGTTATTATATTAATACGAATACATTATTATCTAAGCTATTTTTAGACATTTACCCATATCGTGTCCTTATATATTAAATCTACCTCATGAGTCCTGAACCCACTGCTAATGTGCAACTTCGCTTATAAAACTATATTTGTTCTACCTTTACCGAGTTATGTATGTACACCAATAAAATTGGCGATAAAATTAAATTTGAAAAAAAAGCGACCTGACCATGGCGAACGATAAAAGCTGATACTGTAACGGCTTTTGTTGGCGGAATGTACACGAAAATTTGTTGAAGACCCTTTGATCATTAAGTCCTTTTAATTAATTAGGCGAAATCTTTTTTTAGCAGCTGGTTGCATTGTAATATATCGTGTGCAGGATGCAAATTACGAAAGTATGCACACGTTCTATCGTTGTCGTTGTTTACGGACAAACTAAAGAAAGCTTTGTAACCGCGAACTGTTAAATTATTTCTGTCTTTCTCTCCATCCTACTTTACCAATGTATGGCACAAAATCTGCACATATTATTGTGACGACGATGACGACGTATCGGTCACTGCCGTTGCGTTTCGTATGTCAATGGTGTGTCGGACTTACCAGTCGGTGCGTACCGGATCCTTGCATTAGTCTACATATTAATTATCATTACAGATTTATTCTTCGATTAGATTATTATTGTTATTTTTCGTTTTTGTTTGACGTTTACGAAACGAAAACTGCTGTATATTAGCCCTAAAACATTGGTTAACTTGAAAGAGAAAATTATACACGTGCCGCAGAGACAAAGTTGTTAAGCTAAAAGTATCCGCGTCTCTTTGCATTAGAAGATGAGCCACAGATGCTCACAGATTGTATAGAGCTTTAACTTTAGGTGTTAAGAAAAGACGACTTAGACTTACCACGGGCTGCTGAGCAGAGAACCCTTGCCTTGCCACTATTCAACAGGGAGTACGCTCTATGACACTAGCTACTCCTTTCAATTTATGGAGACTACAACTACAACTATAAAGGACTAGCACATAGAGGTACAGGCTTAGGCGTTTCTCCTTAGTGTTGCACTGGTAAAAACAGGTCCGTCCATATAGTCTTTAATGTAGGAAGCGTAATGGACCAATAGTTATAATACAAAAACATGAGATAGTGCATGTCTTCATCTATATAAGCATGGAGCTGGTGGCTATAAAATGCTCGTCCCTGACAGCAATGATGAAGCTAAGCCAGTGCACCCTACTTTCGTGGCCATGATAAAATGGCTGCGATACTCCCAGAGGGTTGCTCAAACGGCTGGCTGATTTGACGTCGGCACTGGTGGAGATGGACGAGAAGAAGCCCGAGCATTGGGCTAAGGAGTACAAGCGGCTCGCCAAGTAGGCCAGGTTGGAAGAAGTAGCCCGGGCTTGGTTCGATGTCAAGATCGGCGCAGGGGAGACGTCAAAGGACTTTAAAGCGAAGCTTTGAACAACCTTTTCTGAAGAAGACTGATTGGAGGCAACTGACCCGACTGAAAAATTCTTCGATCACTACGATAAGGCTGGCGAAACGTTTATTGAGTTATGAGTGCTAGCCAGTTTCTGGTAAAATTCTCAATACGTTGTGTGCAGAATTCGAGTTTAATGAACTATCGGTAAATATTCGAAGGATGGCGAGATCAGCACTTCTCGCTAATTTTCTTATTGTATCGAGGGGACCTTCTACGCTGAATTATGTCTGGTAGAGCAGAACTACAAGAAAGGCGTAGCACTTCTCGAGCACTCTGTGGTATTTCCATTTCATTCCACTCATTATGTGGACACCATTTCCACTCAAAGATGGGAACCACTGTTCGTGAATGATGAACGAGCTCGTTCGCTCCAGCCTCACACAACGCTACCCAGCTGGCGGTACATCAGCTGGCAAGCTATCGGTAGCTGCCAGTACTTTGGGTATTTATTTGGGGTAGAGCGGCTTCGTACGTAGAAAGCTGCAACGTGTGTCAGAGTGCGCGAAAAGCCTCGGAACATGTCTCTGTTTACTCTGCTGACAGCGGATGTGCCAATCCGCAGAACGTGACCAACATTAATTTCATTGAGCGACATCAAGATATACGTTAGGATAACAGGAGACCTGGCTGTACGAAGCTGTTACCGTGGGATCGTTCAAGGTACCCCTAACGACGTCGAAAACCAGAAAGTACCGAACTCGGGATAAGAAATAAGCGTGGCCAAGTTTTAGTGGATGAATCGTAATGAAGTGCACGAATAAATACGTCTATACGGTAAAATCGGAAGCAGGTTTTCTGTCAGTTGGTCCAGGCAGCTGAATACACGATCCGGCTACGAACCTCAAAGACAGCAGTTCTAGTAGGAACAGTGAAATCACATATGTCTGCCACACTACCCTCAGGCGCTTGGTAGCGAGGTGAACACGTTTCGTTAAGCTATGAGACAATCGCATTTGTATATTTCCCGAAAGAGCTGTACGACGGATGTCCAGAGCTTCATTTTGCTTCTAACACTGGAAGAAACTACGTGGAAAAGCTTGCGAGGCCCAGATATGATATGAGCTACACCATGCTACAGAGATATCGACTGCTATATATAGCAGCCCCTGCTATCGGAGAATCGTGAGAGGGCGCACTTACACGTAAATTAATTATCAGAAGAAATAATCAGCTGTACCTATGGTAAAAGCCACAGACCTGTGAAAAGCTCTGACACAAGTATACCAAGAAGCGAAAACCATCTTTTTAAGCAGTGATCGCTGTGGCGGTTTATAATGTGTAGAACACCAAATACTACTCAATAGATGGATTAGACTACCAACAAAGCAAAAGATTTTTTCTATCTGTCAGTATCGAACGTAAACACATCGTTTAGTAACGAATACAAAGGCAAGTATCCACTACCATATTAATCCACAATCATACTGTGTTATGAGTTGACATTTTCGCCACATATGGAGCTGTCATCGTCTCAACGACAGAGTTTTTCGAGAAGATGTTGAAATGGATTGACAAGATGGCCGTGTGGTTGCCGCTCTGAAGGTCAATCGCCTACCCTGTTCGTGGATTCGTCGTAGACACTTACACGTTTGTCGGGAAAGCGGGACATCTGTTGAAATAGGGTAGCGCAACAGGCGTAGTACCGCAGACATGCACGTTATGTATTTGTGAAAGTTAAGCAACTATGTCTAGATACGACATAGCTATGACTTATGGGTTAGCGTCGCGAACATTCGATGTAATGCGATCTATAAAACGTACGTAGTACAATATGTTCGATAGATAAACATACGTTTGAGTTAAAAAGCTTTGTAATTATCGATAGCTTGGTTTTAAACTGTCACGGTCATAAAGATGGTTGATTTCAGAAGGTTAGCAATAGCTCATATTGTAAATATGTCAAAAGCCTAAAATTGTATCCTCTTTATGCAGAGTGATTTGACACGTTTATCTGTAAATCGATTAAGTACGGGCAACTATGCGCTACATGGACACTACGCGATCCATTAGAAATTAGTTGTGTTCGATGATTCTACAGGTTGACCGGGCTTTGACCATTCAAATGCTACTTCAACCCCAAACTCGTAACATTTTAATATTGAGAAAATACCGTCTCGAATCCACGAACGCTAAACGACGCGCGTCTACTTTCGGAAGTTAGTTAATAGAACGAAATTATCGTAATTTTAGACAAAACAATACTATTAAAAAAGAAAAAACAGACTGGCTCGGTTTCGAAGAAATCCATTTTTAAACGCTATTAGAACCAGATATCTGATTTGATAAATTAAATACGATGCATTACCGGGGAAAAAGGCTACGATCTGCGATAATCAAACGCTTTAACAAAAAAAAAAACGAGTTTTACGTTAATCTTTACATGTAATGCCTACGAATCTATCATAATCATCCAATCTAACTGCCAGATTAGTCAAACAACAGTTTTCTAAACAACCAAATACATAAATCTCTTCTTTATTTATTTTTCGTCGTCTTTTCTGTTATGAACCACCCAATAAGCTTCAACAAAGCCCGTTTTTTCCGCACTACTCTAAAGCGTATATAATAAATATTGCTACGAAAATATTGTGAGCATTTTTCGATATATATGTGTGTATGTGTTTTTTTCACATATACTACTCCACATATGTTTACATCTACTAATATAGTGAAACTATGATTGATCGGTGATATTTATACAGAAAATAGACTGATAGTTGTCAGGAAGTAACCGATAGCATTGATTTGGCAGTACGAAGTCAATCTTGCCACTTCGCAGTCATGTCGCTGTAGTTTTTGCTTGGCCTTTTCCAGGCTCCCCTAGGCTCATCTCTGGTGTACATATAACATGTATCTAGTAAAAAATTATCTAGCTTCATATAACTGTCGGATTTCAAGAAGAAAATTTGTCATTGGATGTGTTAGCTATTTATAATAGCTGCGTGGTTAAATGCTACTCCATTCCATGGAGTTGTGCATAGCGCGAGTCAAGCGAAAATTTTACAACGAAAGTACAAACATGTTTAGAAACTTCGTCATAGTAAGAAATACGTGTGTCCACACAATGACGATTTGTCTTTAAACAAAACTACCATATTATGTACAGGCTTAACTACGACTGACCACTTATTAGAAAATTTTGATACGAACAACCCTTCGCGTTATGTGTACAGGATAACGTTCCCTATGGCAAACCGCTAGTATTAATTAAAAGCTGATTATAAACAACTGGTAAGTGTGATACTACGGTGTTTTTCAGTACCAGGTTTTTTTGGCTAGGTTAAGGCATCCTTGAATAGTGTCCTAACTGCGTCCTTTTTTGAACACGTACAAGAACGCATGTCTACCACTGAGCATAGAAAACTCTTTGCAAAGCAATCAACATTGCGATAATCATTTTGCAGGACCGATACTACTGGCTGTGTCGGACGACGTGGACCAGTCCGAGAACCGATTGTGGCTGACTACATATGGTATGTATATAACATGTTCTAGCAACGGGTTCGCCGTCGCGAAGCTGACTAAATAATGTGGCAGCAAAGATGCTGCATTAACGCAAATTGTAGTCGTAATTAGTAGGAGATCCGATCCTTGATCCAGGTATGATAGTTGTCGAGCTTGATGTAGAAGCCATAATGACCGGCTCGACCACAACCGACGCCCCATGAGACCACTCCAATGGCATACCAACGGCCCGCAGACTCCACAGTGAACCCTCCGCCCGAGTCTCCTTTGCAGGCGTCGCCTACGATATCCTGATTGTAGCCGGCGCAGAACATATTCGAGGTTACCTGTAAACGATGTTACATAAGACGATATCAATTGATTGAAGGATATAGTACAACGTTATTGCACTCCTGGGTATCGCGATCGATCGACAAACCCCCCTAACCAGATCTATTCGAACGTAAAATAGGCCAGTAAAAGACAAAACGTTTAGGCAGTTTGTTTTGTCCATCTTGACCACTTGTAAAAAGTATGCTAAAGGCCAATCTTTACCGAATCATCCTATCGGCTAGTACATATGCCAACGAAAAGTTCCTACCGGATGCGTAGTGGAAGCTCGGCATTTGTCAGGTTCAACAAGAGGCAACTTAATCTCTTGCAAGAACCGGGGTTGACCCCCGCCTTCCGATAGCTTTCCCCATCCAGCCACGGCGCCATACCGTAGGTCCTTATAATTGAAAAATGTCTTCCGAATAAAATCCGCTTCGCCAAGACAAATCGGCATAATATAATCTGTAAATTGAATCTCGATGTTCATTCGAATCAAGGCTAGGTCGCTGTCGTACGTTGATGGGTCGAAATCACTGCAAATGACACGTATGAGTCAAGCACATTTTTAAGCACAACATTTTGACGTCTGATCGCAAAAACGTCGGTCAATATTTTGTCGCCAAACGTTATTTTGCTTCTGGGTTTAATTGATTACAACTCAACTATCAAACGTCAAATCAACTATCGCCCTTACTTGATTCATTTACTTTGCTGTATAACGTTACTGCCATGGAAACCCAGTCACTTGGGTTAGCATTAAGGAATATTTACTCGGAATTATTAAGTGGACGTGCGGGAGGCTGCCTAAAAGCCAGCTTCGTTTTGTTGAATGCCGCGACAGGCAATGAAGAACGATAATTTAAGATGGGTGAACATATTACTTTTATATATCATGCTAAATATGGTTGGGGTGTCAGTGGGCGTATGCATCTTTCTAACAAGCACTCACTCGCACGAATGAAATTAGATCTCGGATCGGATCTTGTGTATGGAGTCGTGATTCGTATCCTTAGCCGAACCCCAGGCGACCCCCCCCCCCCCCACCCCAGCGACACGTTCGGTTATCAAGCTTGCGCAATACAGACGAACTATACTAATCGATACTCTGAATAATAGTGTTACCTCTGACGGTAAGCACGTGCATTAATGAAACTACGCTAATATTACTTACGGGTGTATGTAGAATTTTTCAATTTTTGCTATAACTTCGTTATCTTCCTCCTTCGTCTGATCGTGTTTCCCAAGAGCGAGACTTATGTCGTTGCCGTCTTCATGGAAATTCACCAGGCAATGGGCTGCTGTCAGCACCTAATTTTATTTGCATCACATATACGACTATATGTCAGATTTTATAGTCTTACTGCTATAGACATTGTATCAACAGACGCAGCTAAACTGGGAAGGTAAATTTGGACACTGGTCCGTGTAGTTAACGTGTACATTTGACGCTTCGTTTTCATTGCCAAACGTCTTTCCATATGGTGAGCTTGGGAACTCGGTTAAGCGTTAGCTTGTATAGCCGCTACTCGTCTAGACTGCCTGTTAACGGAGCATGGTACTATTTGAGCCTTGCTTAATAGCCGGCCTTAATTTACTTAATTGTCGGTAAGCTATTCCCTATTTGAGGTCATTTCAACCTTCAAAGCCGAAAGTAATTTATTTCGTATTATTTGTGGCTATATATTTAGTGTTATGAGTCAGACGGGTTTCAACAGCTGCGTATTTGCTTCGTTCTAATTCCGATATGCACTTACCTACAAGTATAAACATTTAGAGAGTGGTTCTAAAGTGATTTATATATAGCTCAAGAAATCTCTGCATTACGCATTTAATATCTACATACTATATTATTCCGCTTCGTATACATGTAGTACGGTAACAAATCACTAATTACCTCGCGTTGTTACCGTAACGCGTTGAGTGGAAACATTTTCTAATAATATCTAAGGTTTACCGCCGTATAAAAAATCATGTTCAGCACAGCATATGCCTATGTCACGCGTATACTATACTCATCCGTTGGACACGTATCGGGCTAAAGTGTTTACCCATCGTTGGTTGAGTAATGATCCTCCACAAAAGGCCTTCTTTTTTGGAGTCCATAGCATCACCATCCAAGGATGACTTCCGATCCGGGCTGTGGTACCGGCTATAATTTTGCTGTTCTGTGCATGGTTTACGCGGGAATACACCGATGCGAACTTCGGTCTGCCGCACACTACAATACGAACAAAATCAATAACGGCTCAATCGAGTTTATGGGCATGATGATTCCATTATGTTAAGCCTACAGAGAAGAGATCATGTCGCAGTCGCGTATGGCCTATCAGGAAATAGACTATTATGAAACAATTGGTGTGAGAAAATCGGCTAAGTGTTCTCCACGAAGTACCCAGGAGGGTATTAACACGGCAGAGTGAGAATGTTTCAAACTCAATTTAATAACTTAATGTAATTTGGCTCTTGGAATTTTCATATGCGAAATTTCGATAGTTCACTTTAAAAACGCCTGCTGACCTTAGGCCGGGACCGAAGAAATAGTGACAAATAATATTAACAGTCGAAGAAAAAAAGAGAATACTATGATAGTTAAAAAAAAAAAAACTATTTGTATATATTTCGGTTTTTTGTTAATCGTCCAGGTTACATCCTAGTTATGATTCGGGTGATAACTTTATCATCAAGTACCCTTCAACCTATGCTTTAGTACCGCCTATCTACCAATTAGCTTAAGCACCAATTCCTTTGACAGTATCCAATGTTCAATCGAACATTTCCTTCTGTAATATCATTTTAACTTTACATATATATCTATATATATAAATAATATGCTTCCCTTGGCATGGACTTGTACATTGTTACAGGCAGTAAAGAGCACGCCGTGTAAGGGCGGCCTACTATGCCAAAAAGGTTGTCTAATAATAGCACACAATAAAAGCAATAATAGCTTGAATAAAAGCACACAACAACGAACTCGACTCGACGCTTTAAGCTGGTTTTTATAAGCAGCGGATCCGACATTATTCTATTGTAATGCGTAGACAGGTGCCGCAATTCTGTATAGCAATTCTGCGATAAGGATACCACGACCATTACGACTCCTTCGGTAAAAGTCGGTCTTTGGGTCTTTTTTGGCGTTAGAAAAAAAAACTATATATATATTATGTATATATATACCAGGGACGAAGATGAACATAATGGCTTCACCAGAAAGTCTTAATTGAGTGAGCACTATGCGATTGGAAGCTACTTCGTTAATTATTTTTATTTCATTTTCTAAACAGTGTCTACCGGATGTGTTCAAACTAACCGTCATTCATATTATCCTTGGGTTTCACTCGAAGAACAGCGGACGTCTTTAGCGAACAGTTGTTTTTACTATCGGTTACGACGCACGAGTAGACACCGCTATCCGTCCACGAAGCTTCTCTGATATACATGCCATCTAACAGATAAAATATAAGAGCGTCGCTATAATGGGCTCAAGCGTCTTTTGCGAAGATTCAGATCATTTATTGCTGGTAGCTGTAGCGGTTTTCGAAGGTTCATTTTATCTTAGGTATTTTCCTAGTCTATATATGACGGACAAAGCGAGTAACTAGGACACGAGCATATATATTTGAGTGGAATATGTGACAAATGATAACATACCCTCTGGATACGTGGCAATAGCGTCGTTCATTAGCATAACACATGCAACATGCAGAGAAAAGCGTAAATATGTAGTTATTAGATAGGCAAACACGACATTACGGTGTTACCAGTAGTGCATACGTGCCGTCAAGTTTTCCATGTAGCTAAATGTATTGTGAGCTAATACAATGGTTTCTCTGTTTTGACGTTATATCCTCGGGTGTAGACGTGTCGTATCTAGCCAAGCATGCGTTTGAAATTAGTTGATGTTACCCGAACTTTTTTAACGTTCTAATATCTCAAATTCGATACTGTCATCTACTTACGAGTTAAAGTGGACCGAAAACGATTGTGGACTATCTCGGATGTGCTACTGTTTCCAGGGTCGGTGTTGCCTTGAACATAGGTGCGAAGGGGCTGCATATTCCGTAACCAACGATAGTTTAGCTTAAGTCTGTTACGATGACGTGCAATGCAACTGAAAAACGGGGTTTCGCCGGAGGTACTGTTCTTGTCTTTCAATGGACGGACACCTGAATTGAAGCAAACCATATTGAGGAGTTTTATAGTGATGAATACGAATAAATATGTAGAAGACGACAACAGACCCGATGCTTTCATTCCCTTAAACCTGCCCTCTAGCGTTACCTAAGACTTGTCTAATATTCATATATATTCACCTATAGTTTATTACTGGTTGTACAGTTCAAGTATAGATTAGTCGCGGAACGGTCTATGTTCATCGTCGACACGAAAAACGGCAAAAAAAAAAAAACACGTTTGTTACGTTCGCTTTATCTTGGTGTCTTCGATTGTCAAGAAGCCTGAGCTAAACAACGTTTCACTTTCGAAATATCCAGATGTTTTATTCCGCAGCATTTGTCAAAAAATGGATTTAGTAATAAAAACAAAAGAATGCTCTGAACGGTTAAGAAAAGCTGTGCTCTAGCTATTGCATAGAAGCCATCTGCTATAAATATAGAACAAATATCTAAAATGTTAAGCCATCGGTTAAGCTTGGATGCATTTCGTGTACTGCTAAATATGGCCAAATGATCAATACTTACTAAAATTACAGGGGAGGCTCTGTTGTTCGATGACAGGCTCGATAAGACTCAGCTGCAGCGTCATTTCACTTCGTTTATTTTGGAGCTCGAGTGCACAGCGGAAGTTCCCCGCTATTTCGGAGTGCATCTTGCGTATATACAGAACAAACTCGGACGCGAACTCCAAATACGGGGAAAGTGTCGAATTTAGAAAGAGCGGGACGCCATCCTTGTACCTATACGCAGTGAAGTCATCCGACGATACAACAAAACAGAGAGATCAGGTGAGATATCTGCAAGCGCGATTTCTTATGCCCTATATGTAGCACCGTATGCCTTTTAGTAACCTTCCGTTGGTAACGTAGGTAAAATGAACAGCTGACTACAGCAACGGCTCTCGTAAAATAAGGTAGGCCAACGAATAGCACTCAACTCATGCTTCGCGTACGCGACGTCAGAAACAAGCCGTTTAGGACAGCAGTCGAAATTATTCGTGTGTCCTTTTGTACGCATTAAAAAAGCTTGAGGAATAGTCGTCTTGTCAAATGATCAGATTGTTCTTCTTGTATCGACGACCTTTGAACCGTGCTGCTATTAGGATGACAGATTATACAAAGAGTTAATTGTCGGCAAAACAAGTTTTTAGAAGCCATTATCATCGATACAGAGAACACTTTAAGCACGTGGTTACAGACAGGTTTGGTAACATGTGATACAAAATTCTTTTGCGATTTATAATCTATGTGATATATGTGTCTCATTCGAACAAGAATTGTCTAAAAGTTACGGTTACCACTACTTAGCAGCAGGTCGGTTTGTACATTTAAAGTCCTGTAATACTTCTAGTTTATTGTTCAATTCTGGTTTTTTACTCTTGTTCAGCGATACTTAAAACAAAACAGTCTTAACCGCATGGATCATTTTTTTCGAAATTAATCTGTGTATTATGAAACCGCAAGTGCCTATGAACATGCATACTGAATTCATTAGAGTACTAGAAACTACTGATTTTTTTTTCATGAAAAGTTGTCTAAGAATACGCAACACGAAAGAAAATTATTGAAACATTACTATATATATATATATATATATATATATATATATATATATATATGCATGTAATTTGTGGATGTAGTGACGAACATCTCATCGAAATCCGGAGAAAAAGAGTTGAAATTCTCGGTACGGAAGTGAGTGATCAATTATATCTTTACAGCGATATTGGCCTTTGATATAAGTGAGCAAGCCTATTGGGCCCTACTTCAAAACAAAGTTGCGTTATGCTCTAAGAAAAAGTACGCCAGATGTATCGGATTTTGTTTTTCTAACTTTTATCGTACAATAAACGGCAGCGTACTATGGCACCAAAGTTCAAGATGTTTTACTGTCGAAGTGTATCTTTCTCGCTGTCATTACTTCAAGATCGTTACTGACAACTTACTTTTACTTAATACTTCACTGTTCCCAGTGTGTCAAGGGGCCGCTCTTGGCAGGTATCGTTCACCATAGTCGTTGGTAGTGAGCAACTTACTAGTGTAAAATGAATTGTCGCTGATCGCACATAGTAGTGATCTGTTGCGTTGCACTTGCTAGGCCTACCTAAAGTACGTGCCCTTATATCGACGGTATAGCTGGACGTAAAATTATATTCACATGATTGTTTCTTGCAGAATTATTGAGTCTATATTAGCTCCTCGAAAATTTGTCGTTTCGATTCTTTTTTTACAAGTTCACGTATACAAACTACAATCTAGTTAGGTTTATCCGTAGAGCCTGCAAGGAGCGTTGTTGTATCTAGATACGCGTGTAAGTACAGCTAACAGGTGGGTAAAGGGAGATGTTGTACTCACCAGGTCAACCTCGCATTTAGATTTTTCGGCATACATTGAACGGCATATTCTTCACCTGACTTCAGGCTCACGATTGATTGTGGGAACACCTGTCGAAACATCGTATCCGGAGGTAGCAGGGGCAGTGGAACCATGCTCGGAGCCTCGGTTACTTTTTCCACTGGCAATATATAATTACATTAAGGTACAATATTAGGACGCAATGTATCGGGCTGATTGGAAGCTTAAGACTTCTAGACTTTTTTCTGCCTCACTTCATTGTACAAAGGCTAAACCTGCGGTCATAATGTGAAAGGAATAGTATTTACGATATAGACTATGCCCAGCTATATTTTCTACACGCTTAAAGGATACATCTGCGCTCCGTACTGTTTATTTTTTGACGGACTTTTCCTGCCACTTTAACACAGGCCACCGAATTAACGGCAACCTATCTTAACCAGGCTTCATTGCAGTAGATAAAAACAATGCAGCAATTAGAGCATTTGTCTTTTTTGTTTTATCATTGGGGAAAGAACCTAACGCGTTCTAATTTCATACAATGGCTACAGAGTGCCTTACGGTCTATTATAAACGTATCTGCGCTTACAAGAATGTAAAAAGTAACGGATTTAACTGAATTTGCCCTTACTGTCTCGCTGGATCCTTTTAGCGTACGTGTGGAATATAAGCCCGCACAGATAGCTTTCCAAACTTACGAAGACTATGTTAAACGCCCATAGCAAGTACCTAAGGCGTAAAGAACCCAGCATATTTAACTGTCACCTCCAGGGGATGAGACGGGTTTTTCATCACCGTCGTTTGTTCCCTCAGGTTTTCTGAGCACAAATGGGTCCATTCTGTTTGTCAGAAAAGCCATTTAAGTTAAAATCGGTTTTATCAATGAATTTCTGGGCGCATGGCCAATTGTCGTCGCCGCAGAGCGCTTCTATATTTACAATTCACTTTATCATTTTAAAGCTCTTGACTATGAAAGGGAACTAGACTCTTTGAACGCTCATTTGCTTCAAAGGTGAGTGTTCTCTATGCAACTTCAGATCTCCACTTGAAGTTTCTGATATACAGCCGAACACCTCGTATATTCCAGAAAGAATAATTCAGAATCCCATTTCTTAAAGCATTTTATACGAAAACCGATCATAACATTTTCCTCGGTAATATATTTATAATAGGTGCTCTGTTAATCAGGCCTAGTATTTTGAAAATAGAAAAAAGTTGTTGCGGAAACGAATGAAGTGACATAATATTGATTTGTAAAAGGTAATTTATTCCTACACGAAAATTGCCTCTGAACGTTGTTCCTCCCTTATTAGAGGGAAATTATCTATAAATGAATAGTACAATTAAAAAAATAACATTTTTGCATTTGCCAGATAGCATTTAAATAATACTATTAACTTGTATTGGCACCGTTCGTTCAGCAAAAAAAATACAAATAGCGCCTGGCGTCCTGATATGGACATAAACTCTATATGGGTGCTCTATAATCTCACCTGCAGGCGTAACCATACGGTAGGTCAGCTTGAAACCTCCCACTTCGCTGAAGCCGTCGCTAGAAAATACGAGTTGTAACTCGTTCGATGACGAGACTACCTTTTTCCTAGCTACGCCGTCTCCGCATAGTCGATACACTGGGCGCCAGCCTGGAGGAAATCAATTAATATCCTATGAACAACGTACTGTTATGTTTATAAATAGCATGATCAGGTTTGCATTTGTTCAATCGTCCAACACTATTAAATTGCCGGACTCGGCCATAAAGGTCTCCATGTCTAAAATAGAAGTCCATGTCCATGAACCTTGTTTATGATATGGGAAAGCTCATTTTATGTATCTTAAATTAAGCAAGTTATTATGTTATGTTCATAGGACGCAAACCACTGCTAGTCTGAGAAGTAACTAGCAATCTGCGATAATTTACGATGAATTTTTTTGAAGTAAAAGTGTGTGCACAATTGGTTCGTTCGTTTCATACAAAAGATAAAATCGAGCCATCCAGTTTATATGTTCACTGTCATCCTATTTCATGGAGAAATAATAAACGGAAGGATGCGAGGCCGTGAAGGTTGTGACAACATCCAACTTCCCTTGTGGGGGGTTGAAACCTCTCAAGCTATCTTTTTATCTACCCTTGCTGCTAATATCTTCCAGATGACACCGGCATACTACGCTCTCACATAGTCAAATTCGATAAAACAAGCAGTGACTGGCGACAGATAATAACAACATGGCTAACTCGGTAGACGGTTGAATTCAATCCTTAGTACTGATCGATCGGCACCTTTTTTTTAAAATTATAATTTTTTCGAACCTATCAGGTAGTGCCACCCCCCTATAGTAATTTTAAGTAATGTTTACTCTAGCGTATACCAGATAGTTTCAAAAAGCCAGGATCATCTCGTTGATGTGTCCAACTACCATTTCACCATGGACTTAAAAGAGTGATATTAGAATGGTAAAAAAATTGACCGTTCGAGCGTACAACATGTATTCGAACATGACTGTTATGTCCTTTGACATATTGTAGTTTCATCTCAGAGAAAATATCAAAGCACACTGTGCAGTACCTGTCAAAACCTAGTTAAACTGTACACAATGAAAAAAGATTAGCATAAAGCCCGCACACAATTTGTACTTAAAAGGCAAAGTACAGGCAATGCAGGTCGGCATTGCAATACGGGGTGCATTAATTGTACTTGAGCATTAGTTTTCATAACTAACCGAGTCGATATTTTGGGAAAGACATGTCGTGCCTACCAGAATCTAGAGAATTTTCTGCGGGTCCCTTGTCGTGAATCTCGAAAAAATCTGCGGCACAATTAGGAGACCGTTCAAGAAGGAAATATTCAAATGAAATTTCTATCAGACGAGATCGGGTGGCATTTAACCGTATCAGACACTTTTGGTTTGCACCATATTTCTTCGGCCAGTTTGGAGAAGTCAGCATTCCATTGTGCGCGGAGCCCCTTGTAACACCGCATGGGCCTTCCAGCGTCACCTGAAACACAATAATGATCAAATGATATTTGTCAATGTAGGCGTTTCCCATGTAACCTTTAATTCCTTACAATATTTATGTTGCCTTAACTGACAGATTTTCCAATATATGACGTGCCCAGAGCTAAAACCAGCAACTGTTGATTTTCTAAATCCAGGACATTTATAAGCTTCTTATGCGGAAAATATAATAAGAACCAAGGAATCACTTGGTTTTTCCCATTTCATTTTGTTCAAGTTCAAGTTAACGCTACACACATTGTTTTATATATAAAAGCACACAAAACCCTTCGCTTTTTAAGAAAAGAATACGCGAGCACAAACGGCTGGGGCATCTAACCCATACACGCTCCTATTATTTACACATACAATTATCGTTTGGCTCCTGACAGTCCCGTTCTCCACAGGAATATATAATGGAAATCGTAAGCCGCGAAGCGCATCGCAGTACGGCGGTTTAATTTGTCCGACTCTTTCGTGTACGATTTTGCATCGCTTTGATGTGCCAAACGTAGGCGTCAGTCCGCTCCTAAGTTAGCACCTATGTCTTAAGATTGTTACTGAAGACAGCTGTTATAGATAGCTAGAATCGATGACTTCGATTTTCTCTACGCAAACAAATACATAGGTCGGTTGTGCTGCAGTAATAAAAACCCAGCGCTCATCATAAGAGGTAGCGTGCGCCGGTTTCAGTTCCTCTAGGTTTACCAACCCTCGGGTAGGAGAGCGGAAAATTTTTAACGATACACAGTCTACCGAGGATTAGAAAATAATAAACGTACTACTGTTGTGAGCCCCGAACAACTCAGAAGCATAATTCAAAAAAAGCCCCTTTCTCTTATAGTGTCCAAAAGAACTTTCCTTGTTATGTACGACAAAAGTTGCGCGAAGTTATTAGAGGTGAGACCTTCTCAAGGTTCGGCGATATCCTATGCCTGTACAAAGGCGAGCTAAAAGCAAGAGGATGGATCGTTACGCTCAGAGAAACGTACTACGAGGTTTTAATCGTATTAATGCCTATGAAAATTTTTTTGTGTATCAGCGTTGCATACAAGATTACCGTATGCTCGTTGGATGCAATATTCCCTGCTAGATAGAGTAATTTATTGACATAGAAGAGATTTTGCAAGGTTTGGAGTATTAGCAACAGCGATCTAATCCCCTCGCTTAAACCTGACGGTAAAATTAAACGTTGGCCAGCATCTGCCATCACTCTGTTCCCTTGCAGGAGTTTTTTTTTGGAGCTGCAACAGATCCAAGGTCGAGTTTCCCTTAATACAATCTTAGAAACTGAATTTTTCAACACGGAGATAAGGATCGCCTTGAACTTGATGAATACTAGACAAATGTGCGTTTTAGCCGCTTTAGAATTCGGTGTGTCTCTGGCAGGAGAGTCCTGCAGGCTGACAGCCGTGATGATCTAGTTTTTATTTGGACTACGCCTGAATGATTGGTTGTTCACACAGCCAATTTTTTCCTAGCTTAATATTCATCAAAATTAGACATAGCACCGTCTCAAAGTTCTCAGTCACTGCGTCGCACCTCGCTAACACCTTAGTATGAAAACAATAAAATGGTATATACACTTGTATCATTTTATTACGGGAGCCACTTAAAAAGCGAGACAATCTAAGGGAATATATTTTTGTTTTCCCAGACCAGCCAGTTCTGTGCGGGCAGCCATTGTAAAGGCCTGGATAACTTATAACACTGCATTCTAACATTTGTCAGCCATGACAAATGTACCGCGTGCTATCTATCGACCATTTATCCTGCAATAGAGGAAACGTGTGTTCACCCCGTATTTGATTTCCTTCCGGTCGCATTCAGCTTTAAAATTTCATTGAGATCAAATTTAAGCTTTATATCGAACACTAGGAACGTTCGCAAGTCGTACGCCAAAACGCAATTTGAAGCCTGGAATAAAAAGCTGGCGGACATCGATCGCTAAGAGATTCTGCAAGCGTGTATAGGTGCGACAAGATATCATCATTTTACGCCGATCATACTCAATGCTTGTCAAGTACTTCTTATATACTGCCTGTTTACTACGAGTTATTGTGATACTTACGTCGACACCAGGCTTAATCGCTTCATAGGTCGCGTTGAATCCGGCATCTTGAAAGACGTCATCCGAATGGAAAACTATCAATGCGTTGTTTGTTGAAGTGGTCAGTCCGCGTACTCGCGCTTTCCCACAGAAACGGCCCAGCGATGGGGAACCTGCAATCCGTCGTAAAATGTTCAGCTTGGCCTACTTGGAACATTTTCGGCCCGTTTGTTATTATATGCTCCATCTAGCAAACAACATTCTATGGTGACACTTCCCTGACGCACACGTTAGCCGAAAACAACATCGAGCATCGTCTTTTCAATACAGAGACAATACGCATCTAGCAACAGCTGTTAGCTAGCTAACATACTTTGCAAAAGTTTTTCTTATTATGATGAAAATCACCATATAGATTATAGTCAAAACAAGTAACTGACATACACAAGATAATAGCGAAATTTCAAAGAACGTTTATGTTCAAAAATTAACTAGATTCGAATTTGTTCGTCAACGTTATACTCCGAACGCATTAATCATCAAATCCTCCCGCGTACAAACTTTTATTCTGCCAAGTTGAACAGATAACTTTCGTTTCAAATGTAAGCACTAATAGAAGAGATCGCTAAGTATACATATAATAGCAAACCAGTCACCTGTGATCCCTCTCGTTCTGTTTCCTGTATTAGTAACGTATATTTTGCATTTATGATTAAAAAAAGCTCGCCTTCGTTCTTATCCAACGGCGGGATGTTTCTTTTAAGGCGCATTTAATGTAAATTTACGGAGCTTTATCGTAGATTAAGGAACGTACATCAATATCTAAGTACGTGACTACGTGAAAATTTTGAAGTTTAAAAGAATTAAAACCTCCGCTGGAATAAAGCTCGGCAACGATGTACTGCTGGAACAATGCGTAACCGAGGATATCCGTTGGGATGGGAAAACAATAAGACGAAATATGTCGTAAATATCAAATGCTATAATATGAACAATGGATTTTAGGCTAAGGCGCTGAATACTTCAAAAAACGTCGCAATCTATAGGTATACGATGTGTGCTTTAAAATATCATATTAAGATATAGTGAGTAAAAAATATCGGGGTAAATACTGAATAGTTTATAACGGAGTTCGGAAAAAATTGAAAGCATGAAAAACTTCTTCAGAGATGAATAATGTGTTAACGATCCGATTACGTCTGCTTCACACAGAACGAGAATGGTAGTGGGATGTACGTACACTTCCTGTGTTACGGTGATCCAGTGCTATACTACCATATCTATCTAATCTGCCCACTCGTCAAAACAGGTCTATTTTGATGATTTTATAGCTGCACGGTCTACACTACGCATCCATGCCTTCCGTACTGACAAAATCGAGCCTCTGTCCTGTTATGATGAGATTAAGAAGAAGTTAAGGTCCTGTAAAGATGAGGTTAGAAACACTATGTAGTTTGCACGTGCCTCTTCAGCCTTACTGCGTATATGTGCAGAGAGACAGATCTTCTCCCACCTTTCATTTTGATCGCATTAATAACACTATTTATTTTTGCATTTGATGAGAAGGAACATGTCAAAGAGAATTGTTTCGAGCTTTACATCCGGTGTTACAGCCGTTTAGGAGTTTTGGGGTTAAGGAGGATTAGCCCATTTGAGCGGGAAAATCTGCGGTTGTGATTTCGAACCTAAATTATTTCACGTGACGCTAAGTTTATCAGGTGAAACACGTAATATACTGATCACCGAAACAAAACCAGAAAATCTGCTAGTGCACAAGCATGCCTTGTACTGCTTTCCTGATTAATGCACTTCAAGCGCAAGCGAAGTTACCACATGTTCCATACAACCTTGACTTGGAGGCAACTCAATTATATACTTACATCTGAACTACCCTGACATGTGTCGTCAAAAACTGAGCAGCTAATTTATTTTATGGCATTATTTGTACATAGAGATTAGCGTAAAACGACCTAGCTTCTTTGCCGGGAACCTAGGTACATGACGATTATGTTCTGTATGTGAACGATTTGGTCATAGTGCTTCAAGCCATACCTGCGCTAGAAACGGAACTATACAGTTCCAAGACTCTGAGCGCTATCTCAAAATGAATGCTGAGTTCAGGCTTTTACCTGACCCTAAAGAAAAGCGAGAGGATTCTACTCACTGGAAAGAAAAAAAAAATAGGGCAAATCAACCTGCACTTGAACGGCAGACAAATCAAGATAGTAAACAGGGCAAGATATCTGAAGGTGCACCTAGAGAGACTACTCAACGGCAAATCACATGCTAAGATGGCTACAACTAAGAAAAGCCAAATAACGAATTCAATAGCCGAACATATACAGACCGCGAAATGCCAGTCGCTGATGTCTTTCGCCTGATCAATAACCCTTTTTGGAATATTTATATGGATGAATAAGGCGCTAAACATAGAATCAAACAAGAAACTCCTCCAAAAAGCGTATAGGTTAGCCACATTCATCTGGCCGGCCTATCGCACTGCTAGCATAGATCTTCCCCTAGTCTTGATCGAAACTCCACCCTACGACGAGAAAGTCAAAAAGAAAAATCGACTGTGGCATAGAGAAAACAGGATGCCAAAGATAAAGGAAGCGGAAAAGATGCTATAATACATGAGTAGCAGAACAAGTAGGGAACCATCCCAAGGAGCAACCCAGACTCACTTGTCAGAGGCCTTTTGTTAGATACCCAAATATGGTTAGATCGTCCGAGAGTGGAGATTGACCATTTTCTCATCCTATTTATTGCGCTCGTTTCACACACAACTCGTGTGTTGACAATGCCACAGCGTGTATTTCATTTACGTGCTCTGTTCTTGACGAAGCCAGAAAAGCAGCGAAATTACCAATTTCATATAATACCAAGTTATATTTAATGGCTAACAAGTGACTGTAGGGTAGTAGAAAATTTCCTTGAGTGCCTTTTGAAAATAAATTACCTCTATTAAAAGATTATAAATCATATAGTAATAGTTAGCAAAAATGATTATTTGCTTATGTGTACCATGTCGCAGTCTTTAAAAGGCCTGTCTGAGCTCAGGAATTAATTTCATGCCGGATTGGTGCTACATATGTTCAACAGTGAAAATTTGGTAGAAACATCTGCGATAAAAAATGCAGATTAACAACTTTTTTTTCAGTGATTGCGGAAGAATCAAGTTTTTTCCCATTTTTTTTCCCAAAGAAATAACTATTCAGCTTACATCTCTACCATAGACAGTATGTCTACGGATGTAAAAGGGTGCGTCGTAATATAATAATTACGCGGAGCTTTTTGCGAACTATGTATAATAAAAATAAAAAATAAGCAACTAACTAGGTAAATATGTAGGTCACAGTGGTTCGTTATAATGACTGTTACAGCGGATCCTTTAAAAATGGAAGGTGTTATTTTTTTAATTTGATTGCTGATTTCTTTTCACACCCGACATGTGTAGTCGTAAGGATGATGTATATTAATATTAACGTGAACCTTTAGGGCCTCAAGTCCATAGAAAGGCCATTGGCTAACATGTTTCTTTCTTTCGGACTCTTAAAGAGACCCAAATTAGCTCTCTAATTGTTAGGGTCTTTGACGTTGTCGTAGTTGACAACATGTTCGATACTTGCCACCATTCAGAAGAATGTCCACAATTTTAAATGGCTTTAAGAACGAGGAGGTCAGCGATGACATGAGATGAAGGTGGGCGTGCGGCTTTTATCGACGCGGTTTATTTTTCGATTGATTTAAATCATATCATTGGTTATTATAGTTTGTATTCCAAGAAAACCAGGGGCTCAAACTTATACTACCAGAGACAGGATGAAGAGCAACGAAGTTAAAAATGCAGTAAAATATATGATATGTATATAACAGTAACGTTGAAAAAATTATTATATAGCTCGTATAAAAAATATAAAACATAAACAATGTGATGCATTAGTTATAGCTATCCATTCATCCTCAAATATTATGTGCGATCAATATTGTAATAATAAATAAAATGTGACTTCGGCAAGATGCGCTAAGGGCTAAAAAAAAAAAGGTAAGAGCTCTGGACATTATGCGTCATGGAGAAAATTGCTGATCGTACATGAATTTGAAAAACACTAAAAATTAGTATGAAAATGACATCTGTGTGACTAACAGAACATTTATCATAAATTCCCATAAAATTCATAGATGCATATAGGTGTACGATGTCTACAGATTTAGCAAGAGACATTTTCATTAGACTTGATTTCACGGACATTTGATTAAAGCGTGAAAGTGTTATCCTCCCTAAGACGCACGAGCAGCATAGAGCAAAATTCTACTTGTAACGTGGGTCAGGTTTGTTCAGCATATTTAACTCGATATCTACGAAAAGGCTTCTAGAAATGTCTTGAAACCGGAAGCAAAAATCATTGCAATTTGTCAGTGGCTGACTGTTTTGTTTGCGGACGTGAGGTTCCGTCCTGTGAGCCCCTTGCTACGTCCCCTCTAAAACTATTGCGCATTTGAAATCCAATCATATCAACCTGCAGGACGATACTGGTTGTAGTGACGATTACGACCAGCGGGCGACTACGGTGACATCAGTCGTAAAGACGGCTTAAAGAAGGCGACTACAAGCAAATCTGCTGTCTCATTAGAATTATAAGCTCCTATATATATATATATATCCTGTTATCTCGTAAGTGACCTGCGTCGAAGTTCGCCGTAACTGTCGGAGAGAAGATAGACCACAGATAGGTGTCGAACCGATCTGTCGTAATTGTCTAATGGCCTCTAGCAACAGCTTTAAGGAGACGTAAAACTAGCAGCGATACCTGCGACAGAACCGGTTCTTGCAAAGGAGAAAAGCAAAGACTCGATATACATATTATAAATATTCGTCTAGCAGCCATGTGGACGAAGCCACAGACGCGGTAACGAACAAATCCGGCTGCAGAAAGCTATTTCAGTTAATTATCGGGTGTTAGTTATATGCCTTTTGGTAGAATGTCGCGTGTTTCACCCTTTAACTTTATACTACCCAGTTCATCTCAAGCTGTGCTTAACGATAGTGAACGCTAGATTATAGTTTAAGCTGGAACGTTTGTCATGCCTAGTGCTGATTGTAGCTGTAGTACTGCTCTTTAGAATAATGACCATAGTAACTGTTCGGTTGAACTAGCTTGCCAGCGGCGACATCTTGTGGTCGCCCGTTAATTTACTACCTACATCGACCGCTTCATTCCGCTAAACGTTGTCCGACGAGCGTGAGGCGCAGGTATCAAACACGCATCGCAAAATCATATTGGGTTGTAATATACGTAGCTGTCCTGTCTGCTGGCCTATAGACGGGTGTTCATAATCTGGCGACTACCTATCAGTAACTAAAAAGGCGCGATGGTACTGTGACTGGAAAAGCAGCATCATCATTCACTAGCTAGCAGTTAGGGTTGTATTAGCGTCAAGGGGGCAAACATAGATGCCACGCATGTAAACGATCGAGTGGTTCTATTGGTTAGAAAAGAAGTGCAAAAGATGTTAATTTTTAGATCATTGTCACATTAGTTAGTCTACAATTCGTGCTAAAGGAAACATGGCAATTCTTCGGCTTCTTGCTAGTAATGGGGAGCTTACGCTCGGAAATGCCTGGCCGGTTATCAAGTGAGCCATAACAAACATAATATGTATGGATCTTTACAGAAGGTCCTATTCGAAAGTAATTTAAAAATCGCACAGCCTCGACTAAATCGAAAATGTCAGTAATGTTTTACATTTTCGCAGCTTTCGAAATCTGACTTGAATCTATTGCGAATTTGAAAGGGATCATATCGTGTGGTTATTTGTGCTGCACAGAAAATGTACCACGCGTGTTCTGTTTCTTTCCTATTCGGTTGCAGATAATTTTCCAATTTCGAATATCCCCGAAATCTCTAGCTCGATGTCTTTCTCGTATTATAATTTTACCCTATTTATCGATTTTTTTTCTACTGAAGCGTATTCTGATTTGCTTTCTTGGCTGTGCCGTAGAGCCTCAGCGCAAGAGGTCAACAAAATGCTATTATATGAAAAATATATTGTTTATCTGGAGATAACCTTTAAGGTAGGCAAACATTTCGGTATGCGCTGCTGTTGCTTTTTGATATAGACGCACATGTTTTAAGGCAAATATACCTTTAGATAATTACAGTCAAACAGTGATCAGATGAAAACTTAAGTAAACTATATAATGTTAGCATTAAAGGTAACTGTCGCTTACATCTGACGATCTGTTAAGTAGAATACGTCTTACGTCCCCAATTTACAGGGAAAACTAAATTTATATTTAAATTTATCTCGTCAATTGCGAGATTATATAAGTCGTTGTTATTTAGAATAAATATGACTAAATGTTTCTTCGGTGATAGGCTATTTCTACTTCGATTCGACCACAAATAGTTCGCAAACTTTTTTTTCTTGTATATAAATTCGCAAATATTTGTTAATAGTAATCAGGAACAAAACTATATCAGCGTGCCTAGAGTAATCGGAGTTCCGTTTAAGCACGCCACACACGAAAAATCCAGTTGACTCACATCTTGTGGCTGGCAATAAGTTTGATACCCTGAAAATTCAGATGCGTAAAAAAGCACACCAGCCCACTAGAGCATTGCAAACATTGGGACAAGCTCATCGTGGCTTACATAGGCAACGTTATCGGCCAAAGGCGATTTCGTCCCGAAGACAAAATTCCAGGATTATACATTTGAAGCCCCTTCGATTTGATCCAGCTTTTAAATCGTTTTCTTTTTTTTTTTGCCTTAAGAAATTCTATTTCAGATTTTTCTAAGCTGTCAGCAATAGTCGAGACTGTAGATTTTATAATTTGACGATCCCGGTGGGGGCTCATTCCGCGTAAACGTTGAGCAATAGCTAAGCCTACATTGCGAAGGCAGACCTTTTGCCTCCGCCGTAAATGAGTTTGGTTCTAGAATGGGCTCTTTTTCTTTCCACATCGCTAACTTATTATCAGAACTTATTCTCACTATGTGAAATAGCCTGTCGAAGTGTGCCATAATTTATTTAGAACGAAACGGAAATGAATCCGATCCATCTGCCGATCCGGATGAAACCCATCCGGATCGGCAGATCTTTTAATCTTAAACGGAAGACGTTCTCAAACCATTTCTATGACTATGACATTACTCTATAAATGAGACAGCTTTTACTAATATTGGGAAGTGTCCGACCATTTCGAGGCTCACCATGGCCGCACCCGATATGCTAGACACAAAAAGCATTAGATGCCGAAATCACCATGATATAAATGTTTTCATGAAACGTATTTTCACGAGGTGTTTCTTTAGCAAGTTAGTAACAGTGTAAACCTACTGCTACTGGACTGCGAAAATTTTGGAAAAAATTTGAAGTGTCTTCTAAAGTGTCGAGAATTTTGAAGTCGAAAATTATTGTATAGCAAATATAACACGCATTATTAGGGCATAGTTATTTTATAGATGAAAAATAGCTAAAAAATAAATGAATAAATAAAGTAAATGATCTATAAAACTATTGTTTTTAGCTAAGTATGGGAAAGGCTATCGAATGAAGTCATAGAAGAGGTTTGATGGAGCAGACGTCATTTTAATTCAGGCAAAGATATCAGAAAGACAACATAACTGAAGAATGTTACGCTTAGAATAAGAAATCATTTTACATAAGGACCCGTTTATCGGAAGGAAAACTTGCCAGGAAAGCAAAATGACGGCTTCTGCTCTGCTTGATTTGCTACAGGCAGGTAAAAAATTGATAGGTCCTACTGGCAGATATTCGCAAGCATAATCGATCTCGTCATGGCGTAAAGCGCGAACCGTCACAAGAGCATTTCACAAATGAGACTAAGACTACGCAGCATTACATGTAGCATAGATTTGAGCAAATAATTCTACACGGTCCACCAAAAGGGTGCCAGTCGCTGTTGGCATAAAACGAACGTAAACGTCGATCATTAGGGATCACAAGTAAGGTTGTTTTTGTGGTCATTACTATTGATAGTCCTGTGTATTCGAAATCGTCCCTACTTTACTATAGGCATTACTATCAATCTGTGTGCACAGGTTAAAACTCCATGGAAACATTTTTTTATAATGGAAATATTATGCTATAAACGCCATTGGTTGATTTCTATCGATTACTATATTCTTGTATTACTATTCCAACTAGCTTTAGCTTTGAACTGAATAGGCTGGATTTAATATGAGAGACTGTAGAATGTTTCCGCTTGAGAAAGACAAAACATCGGTACCAGTCAAACGATATATTTTTAAGGTCATTATCAATGTAAGACATGTTAATAAACTCCATGCGACGTAAGACTTCAGTTTATCTGATCACCGCTTTTATAGCGAAGCTATACCGCCATTGAGCATGCGTATTGATATACGGCATGTTGACAACCTAGTTATGTTTAAAACGAATCATAAAAAAAAAAAAGCTTATTTTAATTTGCGAAAAACAGCCCAGTTCTTCGCAGAACCCAAATAAATCTTGAGCCACATGAAATGTATAGCTATTGTTGTATATACGTTCAAACAGTCATAGAACAGTCATAGACGACTCACCGTTGTCGTTTTTCCGTTGACTATTGGAGTTGTTATTATTATTTAATTATTGGATTTTTACAATTTTGAAAGTATCTGTAGATTCTCCCTCTCTGGATAGCGTGATTGAATAAACTAGCCAACACCTTGCAGATGAAAAGTTCATATCTGTATACTATCTGGACTATCTGAGAAACATGAGTCAATACCCTCAAGTATCTCTCAATCAACTTTTCTCTACTTGTTGTGCTTATGCCACGCACAAAGTGTGTCAGATTTTCCTAATAGCTATCCTTAGCTCAACAGAGTATGTTCGTATACAATAGATAAATATGTCCAGCATGGTAGATAATAAACTCAAATCCAGGCTCGGATTAATCATAAGAGAATCTGACATACTGATATTGTTATACATTTCATTCCATCTTAACCTAGTATACATATAAAAAACTAACACGCTGTAAATTAACTATTAAACTTATTACTGGAATAAGTTTACATACCCGTCGAGGTCCCATCAAACAGTTCGACGAAATCACCTTCACATTTCGTACTGCTTTCTAACGCAATATCTTCGAAATTGATCGAAACTACGTGCCCTGCCTCAACCGACAATAACGTTTCGCAGTGCTCGTTGGCCGTATACGCGACCGGATAGCCTGGAGAGGAGAATTGCCCCCGAGAGGCTGTTAGGACCCGATTGCATGATGTGCCTGCAAATATTCACATAAAAATTGTTTATTAGCATACATTTGAATAAAGTCGCACTCTGTAACCTTCAGGTACTTTTTTCTCGGCCTTCTATTTCCCGTGAACGATAGTCTACCGTTATTTTAGCCTATTTTTTTTTTAATAAGAAAGCACTTTTTATTTCGAAATAGCAGAACAACGCTTGGCTTCAACTATAACAACCGTTAACAGTGCTACTATGAGAACTTATCATTCATTATTTCTTGTTAGCTTCATTAAGAGCATAAAGCAGTTTACTCGTAACGACGGTAATTGCGTGACCTCAACTGTTATAGTCACAATCCAAATTCTCTCACCTCAATGAAAAGTAGTTCGAAACGTTAAGCTCCAAGAGCAAAAAGCAAGTAGCCAAACAAAGATGCGCTTGTTGGTATTTGTCAAGCTTGTCCTGCAGTAGGCTCTGTTTCAAAAATGTACTCAGGTGGCTCAGATGAACAAGCGGGAAAATTCTACATTTTTATTTTTTATCTAAAATTAACTGCCTACTTGTATAGTTCCTGTACAAGCATCTTTTTTCAATCCAAGATCACCTAGAGGTTTGAACATAGAACGTTTGGATGGACACGGAGTAAATTTGGGCAGTGGGTTTTCTGTCTAAAATCTTCATCTGCTATGTGTCGCACTTATATCGGACTCAACGAGACTGCTAATTGTGACTTGTGAGCTCTATGTTATGCGGAGAGGCATGCGACTTTAAATCACTCCTCACGAATACTACATTTTTCTCGAACTAAAAAACAACTTAAACAATAATTACTCTCACAAACATTACACCTCTTGCATTATTACCCGGACCACAATAATCAGCAAAACACCGTACTATTTCTTCCATTCCCTCTACACTCACACTCCATAGGGCCAACAAAAGGGCCTTTACAATCACAGCATATTACATATGTTCATGTAGCTCACCATTTCCGAAAGATAGTTGTTCTACTTTTCTCACAAAATTCCACCTTTGCTGTTTGCCTATTACATGACTGTAACTAGGTTAAATATTTCTGAAACCTTTGTTTTATTTTCGTAGAGAAAACGAACATTAAAATTTTTATCATAACATCCCTTGAAAACAATCTTACCCTTTAAATTTTCGGCTATGAAACGAACAGTATTAAATTCAAATTTTGTAAAAACAAAAAAATTAAAAAAGAATATCAAACTGAGATACTATATTACAAGTGTAAGAAACAAGACGAAGCAGGATTTTAGATAATGTGAAAAAGGGTACCGGGATTTTGGCCAGGCTATAGCGTTAGGACAGCACTATCCACATAATCGCCCTGAGGAATATATATGATTTTTTTTGTACCGTTTTCTTACTAGGATATCCTTAACGGATTTGCTTAGTTTTGTATTGTCTGCAACATTCGCTCAAAATAGCTCGATGCCGTACCTAGTTCTGATTCATTTTCTCGCCAGAGATGCTCGACCTATTTCTCGCTTTGCCAAACACCTTTTTCTTGTTCTCGCCCATACGCATAACTCCCCTCCTCCTTGTGTGATGTGGCTTTGAACTAGCAATCGTTTCTAGTCTACTAAATGACTTGTTTGCTCTCTCTCAACCGCTAATTCGACCTTACCTTGATACCTTTCTTGTGCGATATGGTACCTTTTGCGATGTCTTTGACGGTGTTTGTGAAGTATTCAATCTTGAAGCCGTTATCGTTAAAGTTTGAATCCGATACAAACTCTAAAGTAACAATAGATGAATTTGTTTTGATGACCTCGCCTTCAGGAAGGTTTGTTCCGCAAAAGGTCTGCAGTCGTTTACTTGGTCGTCCGGTAGAAATCTTCAAATGGTCGTACCTGCTAGTGGAATCGGCACAAAAATCATCATGGTAGTAATGCCGTACGCGTATCTATTGGACACAGTCTATTCTATTAGACGCATTTGCTTTGCCAATCAAAATGATAGCTGGCGAAAGCCGTCACAAAATGTTTTTCGTTTTCAGTAAAAGCGACTGGACTGAGAGAAATAGCCGTAACTTTCTCACAGCGTGTTAAACGTTTAACACGTCTCTACCTGTTGTCCTTCGATTTACCTGGAGGGGCCACTCGTAGGCTTGTTCAGTACACAAATAAACCCGCTATCTGCTATAACACTATACTTCTCTAATCCTATAAATAACAATAAATGCATACTTTACGTTAAATTAACTGATGTTACGTACCCGCAATCGATGCTGAACTCAACGAGGAACTTGAGAACGACAAGTGTTATGTTACCGGATTGGGCAACTAAGTTCCAACGACAGTGGGCATTGTTTGGATACCCATGGGGATAGCCAGGTGAGGTGAGGGTGCCCCGGACCTCGTTCACGGGAACATCAAACGTACAGCCTGAAGCTCACAATAATTCGTCTTTTTCAAAAGATGTGTTTAGTTACCTATTATTGTCTTCTAGGTTCAACTTTCAAATATAATAAATCCTGTTTATTCAAACTCTCGGGCGTAACACTGACAAGCTAAATCGTAAGGCCTCTAGTTGGAAATATACTTCTGGAAATTACCGACATGAATTAATTAGCCGCGACAAGAAAGTGCCCGTTGTTAGGTACGGTCTCAAAGAATAGCAGCATTTACTTACTAAATAACACATACAACAGAAGTGGGCATATGTAGGTTTATATAAGTGGGTTATACTATAAGGTGATTTAATTTACGCGCGATAAATAACACGCGAAAAATTGATGCCAATAACTTTTTGGAATGGGTTTATCATTCTACGATGACGATACTGATTATTCATAAGAGTGTAAATAGTTAATATGCGATGCAAAATTTCTTCCTATTTTTGTTCGTTCTATATGGTTTTTTGCTGTTTATATCAATTTATACCTTAATGTGTACCCATTGAAAATGATCTCACAAAATGAAAAGCGTAATTGTACGCTAGTAGCTCACAACGGTTTCCCTTTCAGCTTGCGTTAATTTAATGTAAATTATGGAACTAGCTAGTACTATTCGGAGCAAACATGTTCTCGAAAGGTCACTAGGTAGCTTCTATCATACGAATAGTAATAATGTTATAAAAGTTATAAGAACTACCTTCGTGAATTCGCTTGAAAGGTATACGCTATAAGCTGAATTGAAAAATGGACGTTCTAAACTCGACCTGTAATCAGTTCACCGTCATTTCTAAGCTTTGCTTGCCCATATTAAAGCATGTAGCGAGGCAATTAATACCAACTGATCAATGATAAGCTAGATAATTTTGGCAAGATTAGAGAATGGTGATAGTATATACATTTCAATAATCGGTACCTGCATATTTTTTTGCCTATGAATAGATAGATGTTAATTAAGCAAACGATCATCAATTGCTTTCGTTTTATCTGCAGGCTCACTTGACCTACGGTTCAGTTCAAAAGGCGCTTGACCGAAGGTGTACCGTGCCCTCAAGCGCTGAAATCTCCCGGGATCGGTGTATGTATCGTTTTTTTTTTTTAAATCCAGTTTAAAGTGCGATACAACATTCGCAGTAAATGATAAAAAAAATTCCAGTGCAACATATTCAATTTAAATATTGAATGTTTAATAAACTTGGCTATGAAGTATTAGTTCAAGTCATCTGTTACAGCAGTACTTTCATGCCTACACGAATGGCTAGTATTACTTTAAACGGTCATATTAATGGGAAGAAAGGTGTCAGGTTTTACGTCCGTTTTTAAGCATTGCTTCCGAGAGGCTCGTTTGTTGCCGCAAAAATTACGTGGGTCTACGGCAGACTCCCTCCCTCCCTCTGTCCCTCTCCTGTAGAATGCAAACATGTTATTACTGTATCACCACACAAAAACTTCTATAGACTGAAGTGTCCTGTGTACATAAAGGACTATTCGAAACCTCTGACCGGTTTGTGTTTCTTATATTAAGAAGAAAGCGCAAGACTCAATAGAAAGTGAAACTTAATGAATGGATATTTCTAAAAAAGATGAATTTTCAGTATCTGTTTCACCTTAAGCTACACCCTAAGCAGTTAGAAATATCATTGCCGCGCTTAGGAAGAAACAAAATAACCACTTAACTTTGGCTTCTGAAGTTTCAAAATGGCTGCTTAGACCTGGAGCATATACCTCGGTATACGCAGTAGTTTAAGTTCGACAAAAATTGCTTCAAGATCTAATGTTAACTAGCCGCTAAGCAACGCAAAACATGTTACACCTATTCACCGAAAACAAATTTGATCAAAGCCGGAATCAAGAAAAGAAACGACCTGACAAAGGTTGTAATTCGTGTGTTTTGGAATTAACAGGGCCTACTGCAGTGACAAATGTAATATTGAACGCCGAATTAGGATAAAAAACAGCAGGATAAAGAAGAACTTACTGTACTATAGAACTACCATTAGAAAGCCATATGATAACCACAATTATAATCGATTTAGTCTTCAAAAATATTACGCGTATAAGGGTCCAACGTTGGTGCTAAGTTTACTGACGTCTACCAACGGCCTCCGAGCAAAAAGTTATCCTTCTAATAGTGTAGTAGTCACTGCTATGAACAGAGTATCGCGGACTAAATACGAGGGCTTGTTTAGACGCGCGTCGAATCCTTGTCATTCTTATTAACGGTCAGATACTGATTATAAGTTCGCACGGGTATTTATTTATCGGTGAGACATATGCTCCGGATATACATAATTCCTACTTGGTATTTCGAATCCTTTTTCACCATATTTTGTTAGTAAGGTGATCTGCATTTAAGGCAAAATACCAGTCCGGTCAAACATACATTTCTTTACACAGATAATTCGTAAACCCAATGACGTATTTTACTTTATACTGAATAATTTGCATCGTGCGTATTGGACTAGGGCAATACTGAACGAAAAACATTATTATATTACAGCTTAGTAATCAGCGTACCGGAGGACGAATAACTGATACCAATATACAGAATTGTGCAGATATGCGACTGGAAAAAATACATCCGCAAACACAAATAGGTCATAGGGGATGAGAGACTAGTTATACTTATCGAGCTGTGGTGATATGTTGCGTGCAGTCCACTATATAGAGGAGGTCAACATCTTTATAAAACACCTTTTACGATCATATCAATCCGCCTTTGGCGGATTTTCGGAACGTCACCTAAAGAACCTCGTCTTTTCAAAAGCTTTGTTACAATGTTTTCGATGATATTTACGTAAACCTCATAACTCTCCGCAGCATCTGAAAGACCTGCAATCTGCGAAGCGCCTAACAAGGTGGCAATTTAATATAACCGAGGTTATGGCCGTTCCATTTTATTGGCCTGTGGAAAATCGTTTTCATCCATCTGCGGACACTGCTAGATCAAGGTTTTTCATATAGAAAACAATTTTTTTTATTCCTATTAATGTATGTTTTACGAAGAAACGTCAAATTTATTGCAAAGCCACAAAGGTATAATTGAGTTCGATTCATCAATGTAGTTCGAAAGTGATATTTTACACGTAGTCAGATCATATGAACAAGTACAGATATTTAGCGTTAGATGAGCTACCCTTCTCTCTCTCTCTCTCTCTCTCTCTCTCTATATATATATATATATATATATATATATATATATATATGCTAAAAGGCAATCAGCTACACAGCTTTAGCATCACAATGGGATTTTGAAAGCTGAGCATAGGTAAAAATCTCTGTTAAAAAAATCCTTTTAAAATATGTTCAGTTTTACCCACCTGGATCAAGAGGAGCTGGAGAAAACGCCGCTTCTTCGGATGATCTGAAAAATAGTAAAAGTAGAAAATATTAAATTAATATATATTGAATTATAGGTAAGGTTAAGCGTTGAAAAGATTACGCACTTGATAAATAAGGATTATGTGACCAATAAACATTTGCAGTGACTCGTAATCTTTTTTTCTATTTATAGTGTTCCTGATAGCGCTATGTCGTAAGCAAATTGTAACAGACAAACACAGAGATATGCTTGACGATAATGTCTAACAAGGTATATTTTATTCTATACAAATGTTCAAATAATGAAAACATTACAGTTTTGTTATGATCGTTAGAGTCTACAATCTTTTTGAGCTAACAGGGAACGGTTTCCATAATGTTTTCACCCATTTTAATTTTCCATCCAGAATTTTTTTTTACTAAACGCTACTGTGTAATCTTCTTCTACGCTTCGTAGCCTCATTTGCCACGTGCGACTTGCCCAGCCAACGACTCATATGTCTATATTCGATATGGCAGTATTAGATGAATAAGGAAGAAACATATCCACGGTCGCAAGTCTATTTGCGGGGTGTATACAGTTATATAGCACACAACAATTTAACAATATTGTATCATCCGCCATACTTTACTCATCTTGATTCCTTAATTTATTAGCATTTACTATCCACATTCTAACGGTGTTACATCAATGTCAGCTGAAGACCCACCCAGGTAATTATGAATTACGACAGCATCACCTCGAAGAAAAACTGCATTATTGCCGCCACAGGTTTCCTTCTCCGCGTCGGAGGCATTCGACACAGCGAAGGCCCCCGACCGTCCCAACAGCGACAAATTCTACACTTTCTTAAGTCCTGCGCGTATGTTTTTCTATCCAATTTTCTATCTGCGGCGACGTCTCGCTTACGTGTGTGTTCGTTTGAGCTAGATATCGTCATCGTTTATGCTATCCGCTTACAAACAGCGGACACGAGAGAAACCACGTGGCCGACAACAAGTTTGACAGAAAAATCGAACGACGTCGATGCTGACTCATCGCCCACGACATTCACTACTCCGTCTCTGCACTTCATCAGCTACTTCGAGCGTCGTAACGTTACAGCGGTTCGTCATGTTACTTCATGATTAGCTCGTTGTCGATCCCGAACGTCCCATGCGGGAAGGGCGAACAGAAGCGACTTCATTCATCGAGCTGATAGCGACAGTAACAACATCAGCGGCCGTAGTGAGGCGCACATAGGCCGCATAAGGCCAACAAACATTTATATAGATTACTGTCCATTTGGACCATCGCTGAAGCCTCAAAGAAGATGAAACGTCCACTACTATTAGTAATAAAAATCAACATTACATAATATATATGTATGACGAATGACAAAAACAAAAGTAACATATTTCTACCACGAAAATGGCGCGTTGGGCTTTACGGAGTGATCGGAAACGGATTCATTGCTGTTGATGGCACGTGAGATAACTTAAGTTTTTGTAAAAGGCACTTTAGTTCTGGTCAATGAATTAACACATTTGTGTCATAAATAGAGCGCTGTAACTGTCACAGATGTATAATTAACAGCATGAATAATCTGTATCTAGACAGAAAGATAGGTGTAACAAATTGTTTACTGCTGGCTCCAGGCCACATCAGAGCGGCCAATGTAGGAACGTTCGTCGTCCACAAACTTCTTCGGATGACGAGTTCCTCGCGCATTGGGAAAGGCCAAACAACTATTTTAGTCTAGGTACTAGCAGACACACACGAGGGGACGCTTTGACGTTGAAAAGTAACGCGTTGCATTTACGACTGGCCGTATAGTAAAGTATCACCGTCCACAAATATTTCATATAGAATATACCAAGTATAACGTACAGACCAGTATGACCATTTTCTGGTCAAAGACAAACGACTCAAGCAGTCACTTCTGAATGTTCTCAGGGTGACCGTTAATGAGAAGTATTGACTAATTGACACGTTCATTGATGGCTAAAATTCGGTTGGAACGAACCAGAACTTTGGGTCCTTCAGAGCTCAGCGCAGATGCAAACAACATCACTGGCAAAAGGTCTCGATTCGACGCACGGAAAATATACAACTATTGCCATGGGCTGCAGTGATTTCACTTGGCCACCTCCGAGCAGTTTGCACATTGGCTGGAAGATTCGTCTTGGATTTTTCGAAGAAATTGAAAATGCAACATATTTTGCGATTATAACGCAAAACAGACCTTTTTATTTAGCTACAGTTCTAAAGTATTTTAGGAAGCAAACGTGTGCAACTCTGAAAAACCGAACGAGCATCTAGTAATTCAAATTTAACAATATTGCCGATGCGTTTAACTTAAACCAGCACATTTTTCCGAAGCGAAACTGATTCCTTCACGAACTTGGCATAATCTCGACGAAAACTTCAATTAAGCTCGGAAAAATACTGCTGAAAAAATTAGCCAATTTATGTAGTCGAAGAAAAAGTAGGTCTACAAGAAGGTAACTATTGTGTAGATGCAAAGGGAACAAGTGGAAAACAATGGATGACAACGCTAGAACCCTAATATGTTCGCGTAACCGTTGATAAATGTCCGCATATGGTGCAAGATTCGTCATTTCAGTCGACGCTGCCAATTAGGTAATGTTATTTGGGAATAATCTGACCCGATACACGCACCCCCATGTAATTCACATTATTGCTCCGATCCCTTATATGTGTGTTTCTCAATGTGTATATGTATTTTTTCTGTGTCGTTTTCTACGTTTTGGCTTTAATACGAAGCCAACGGAAACCATTCCGAAGCCACTAGACACAACATACGAACTACAAAATATATCGAAATGAATCAACACGTTGATACTCTTAGGGACCTCTGAGCCAGATTAGGCTTATATGTGCTGAATGTTTTAAAAAGAGATTTTACGAAAACAAAAAAAATTTCCATAGAACAATCATGAAGATCAATAATGTCGGTCTTGAGATTTTCGCAGTAGTTTTTGTGTTGATAAAGCCATGAGTGCGTTGCTACATGTAGTATTCTTGTTGAAAACAGCCTTCCTCTATGTCTCATCGATTCAAGATGTGTTGAAATTTGATTTGCATGCAAATAACAATAAGTCGCTTTAGGAAAATCTGTAGCTATTATATAGTCTTAATGCGCAGCGCGCGTCACGATCTACAGACCGCTTTCAGCCAAGCTTTAGCTTTTAAAAACTTCAGGACCTCTTTCAACAGTTCTGAGCTGTTTGAATTTGACTGTTGTGGGGGTCTGAATTATATTCAGTCCTCTCGCTCAGCTGACTATCGTGTGTCTGACAGTAATACGTTTTGACTAATAGGCGTAAAAATAGTTCATCTAAACGATTTTATTCAGTTTTAATCACAGCAGTACTTATCCTAACAGACTTGTTCAATCAGTGGCAGTCTGTTCTGATGACGATTCTGCCTAGTGCACTTCTACCCTGTTCGCGTATTCTGCCCGCACGCGATAAGCCGGACGGCTTCAGCTTCACTTACATTGTGACTTTTATACTACAACAAATCGAGTTGGCTTGCATATGAAAAAAACAGTATCCCCCCTGCGGCTATTATAACTGGACACTGCCAATATAGCTGCTACAGAATCGCTTGTTCGTTGTAAACACTATTATTAGAGAAAAGTGCAGAGGGACGCGACTGTGCAGACGCACTTACTCAAGGGATGTAATCATGAAGTGCTTCAATGACGGTTTGTCCGTTCCGTACCTATTCATGTGGCGATATCGTTAGAGTCAGTATGCATACTAATGGCCTTCGAGAATTAAACCGAGGTGCCACCGAAGGTACAAGGAGGAAAACAATTAAAATTGCTTACTAACGATTAATAAGAACTAGACAAAAAAAAAGAAAAACTCTCACAGGGAAAGCTACGTACTGAATAAAAACGAAGTGAACATTACATTTAAGGGCAACTATCAAAAATACTATCGACAAAGGTCTTCTGTGTCACAGTCAACCGATGGTATAAACAGAAGCATAGCCAGCTCGCCAACACGTCTCAATGCCATTGAAACGAAGCTGCAGCAGATATTTGACGCATCGATACGATGCTTGATAATGATTTCTGAGATTCCATTACTCCGTACACACGAACGAGGCATTCCGCAAAAAGAATATTTGGCCTCCTTTCACTACAAACACGCCGATTTTTTTTAAAAATAAACAACGACGCTCGGCAAATTAGGATTTGCACGCGTCTCAATATACGCTCAGTTTGTTCGAGAACAGAGGATCGGGCCCTAGCGCACTACGTAGCATCGTCATCGAACTGGGGCCTCGGGTGCTACTTTACCAAATTAAGTTATCCAAATAAGTTAGAGTAGGCTCTCATTTTTCTACTAACAGGTCTCCTCGCTGACAGAAATAAGACGTAGCACCAACTTTTGCAAAATGTCCGAGTTACACTTGTATATTAGTAAAAATTACGTATACCAGGTAGGTGAGTATAGAAGAGCAATTGTTTTAAACTAGTCTATACAAAAACAATAGTAAAAGCTAAATCGTTAGAAGGTAAAGGATGATCAATATTTTCCACAGGTCCAGAGACGAAATAAGGATATGTTCGTAACTTCATGCTATTTATTAAGCTGTCCGCCATCAAGCCATCTGATGACTTTGAGCTTGACTCAAGCTCGTTTATTCATTTTTGTCACGTAACAACGAAACACTTGGAATACATACATTTGCAACTATGTAGCATACTAAATTATATATACTATAATATACCAATAATGTATCCAGTCGGGCTAAAGCTAAGGTCGTACGTTGTTTCTAAATTAATCGATCTGGGGTTCGTAGACTTAGTTAGAACCTACCAGTGACTGCATTACAGCCCTCTTAAGTCGGCCAGCAAGCCAGACGGTTCGTCGACTGAACTTGAGGGAGTATGATACATATTACACTATAACTTACACCTAGTATAAACACACTACTCATCAGGTTATTTATTGGGCTCCTGTACTCTGCGTAGGCGATGGCATAAACTGCGAACTGCATAACGTGTTAGGCCGGTCAAGTTC